GTTCGTATGTAGAATTGTCATCTTAATATTAAAAACTAGTTTTGATAGATATATACTTATAAGATCCTGAAGATCCATATATGCTAAAATTTTAAGAAAATTACAAGATAAGTCAATATTATCTAATGTTGTTTATGTGCTTGACTACTTGGATCTTGATAAATCTCCATTCTAATCATACATAAATAAAGGCAACTAATATGAATAATTCAAAATTCAAAAGCAGTACTCTAATCATTTTTAGATCAGCTCGAGAAGTACGGATATGAATATATAACTTAACAGGTCCATTAGGGTTTGCGTTTTGCAAGAGGAACGCATGTGGTACCATGTGAATAGGCTCATCTACGCTCATACTTTTGTTTATGATTTTTAATTAAAAGATGGTCAAGAAAGCCTAAAATTTTGGTTTAGTGACGACACTTATAAGCTGACAGCGAAGATATTATTAATATATATAAGCACACAGACTTTTATTAAAAGAAAGAAAAGAAAACAGTTGTTATAATAGTTGCATTGAGCTTGCAGTGTGTCATTTAAACATGTATTTATAACAATTCCTTTTTGTAGTCAATTGATTTAGTTATATTAGTCGAGGTTGCAACCGTTGCAGATTCACAACACCATGAATTTATAAGTTAAGGTTCCAATCCAGACGATTTGATTTTCCACACAAAAAAAACACATGCATACATTTTATTCTCATTAATTTGAAATAACTTTTTTATAACTTATGTTAACTTTATTACTAGGTATACTATAGATATTTTTTTGTTGGATAGATCATCTTTTCCACTACTGCGTTTAATTTAATGAAAGATTGCATGCTAAGAGAATATTACATCTAAAATAGTTTTTCTTTGTCATTGTCAATTGATAGTCTTACCCTAAAATCCGACTAATCATGATGTTGACATGTTCTTCGGTAATGATATTATGTAAGTTTACCATCAAATAAATCACTGCATCAAAGATCATAACCGAAATGGAATAAAACAAATTGTTTGTAATTTTGTATGAAATCAAACCAGATACTCTTGGAAAACCGGAGTGAACTGATCTTCCTTGGTAACTTTTTTTCGTTTAAGTTTTAAATGATATACCATAGCTTAAACAATGCTTGTACGTGATCGGGTTGCTATTAATCGTGTTAGAATCCGATGTTTTTGCTCAGAAAGCTGATATAGATATGCATATTATGGTGTATTTGTTTACATGGGAATTAATCAATCATTTTGTTGCATATATAAATCGTAGCAAAATAAAACAATTTTATTGTTAATTAATAAGACCAGGTGAGTGTGAGCCGTGAGGCTTGTAATTTCCAGCTCAGATGTTCAATAAATGCATGCATACATACAAAATAAAACTTTTATATATAGTCTGTATCATGCTAATCATATACTATATGGAAGAAAAAATTGGTCAACCCTAGGGGTTTCATATTTAGTGAGGATCAATCGTATATACATACATGCACACATATATAACTTCGTTATAAAAAATGAAAATTCCAACGAAGAGAGAAAATTTTAATAAAAGATCATAAAAACAAGTGAAATTTAGCAAATACTAATAAACATAGTCAAGAGAGAACATAATATAATGTACGCACACACTATATAGCTCACTAGTAGCAATTAGCAACTAGCAACTGACTAATTTCATCATCATTTTCATTGTAAACATCATCATAATTTTTATTGTTAACTTCTGTAAAATAAAAATGCCATTTTAACGTAGTACGTTAAAATCCTGACCTAGCTTGAGCCCAACCATAAGCTTCTTGGCCGCTCATCTGTCCTCCACCGACTCCGTTGCCATTAGAAACAAGATTTCCGGGCATATTATACACTGGAAGTCCTTGGTTTCCGTCGCCACCACCGCCACCGCTACTCAACGGGGAACCTCCGCCTCCGAGCTGCCCGGGAACAACTCCTCCACCGCTTCCACCGCCACCTCTCTCAGCCGCTTCTTCCTCCTCCAAAGGCAACCTCTCGTAAGTCGCATTAGAAAACGTGGCTGCGATTAGCATCACCGGACCAGCCGCCATCAACGGCCCCACCACGCTTCCTCCAACAACCTGACCTTGACCACCGGCTAAGTAAATCGTTAAACCGGTCGATCCAGGGGGAGCCGGTCCAGGCAAGAAAGAACCGGTTAAAGAAAGAATCTCGAATCTCCCTTGTAAAGCCAAAACTGCTGCACCACCTGGGGCTGCGGCAACCGCGGCCGACGAGGGTTGACGGAGAGTGACGTTAGCCACCGTGCCGTTACCGCTCAAGATGCAGATGCCACGTTGACGCCGCCTCGCGAAAGTCGCTAGGGTTTCGATTACGTCAGTCCCACTAGCGATCTCCATGACATGGCTCTTGAGAGCGTTTGGGGAATCGCGCGTGACGAAGATCGGTGGCTTTGGTTTGTTCTTGGAACCAGCAGGACGTCCACGTGGACGGCGCGTGGGGGCTTCCACGGCTCCTTCACGTGGCTCGTGCTCCTCGCCGCTCAAGTTGTCTCTGTCGTCATCGTTGTTGTTGTTGTCGACTTCTTGGAGGTGATGATGGTTGTTATGACCTGAGTCCATGGCCATGTTCATGGAGATGTGGAGATCTGGTTTCTTTAACTGAGAAGAAGTAGGCGGCGTCGTTTCGAGGCCGGAGAGATTCACTTGTCCAGTCCACCATGGGTTCGCCATTAAAACCTTAAAGATAGGATAATATCTGATTATATATTCCAAGAAATGAAGCCGTAAGAGATATAACTGAGTGATAGTATTTTAGATCAAGAGGATGAACAATTCTAGAAGAGGAGATAAGATTTTTCAGATCTTGATTATAAAACACTTTTACAAGTTATTGTGTTGAGAGAAACACAAGACAAGGAAAGGTTAATTAAGAGAACACGACAAAGAATGATACTAAGCAAGAAAGAGAAAAGATGTAATGTAAGCTAACTTATAAAATAAGTGGAAGCATATGTAGACATTAACAATATTATACATATTCTTATATACTTATATATATCTACGTGCATATGTACGTACGTAACTACGTATAAGCGAGGAAAAACTATTTTTTTAAAAAATCATCAAAATCAAAAGCTTCAGAGAGTGGAAAAAGTCTTCTTACAAAGCATACGGTATGCTTATATTACGAAAAAAAATTAGTGACAATATTTCCCCGTTTTTTTTTAGTTTTTATTTTATTTTGAACTTTGATATTGTTCTTGAAAGACGATTATTATCACTTGCCACTTGTCAGAAATTTTGTCAAGAGACTCAAAGCCTCCTAACACTGCTATAAATGAATTATTTTACAATAACATTACCAGAGTTTCTTTAAGGCTTAAGCCGTATTCTGACATTAAATATTTAATTGGTTAAGATAATTTTCTTTAAACCTGTCATTTTATATTTTGTCTTTTTTAAGTTAGCGTTATAATTGATGTGTGGGGTCGAGCGCCGAGGTTGAACTAATGGGGCGCACGATCGTTTTCCCACTGCAATATATTTATTTCGAAAGTTGAACCATAAGGTTTTCTTCGAATATAAAAACAATAGTATGATATAATATCTACGCAGTATTCATTGGATCAAAATAAGAAAACATTTTTTTTTTGGTAAAATGAAATAAGAAAACTTAAAACTATAACACCGAAAAACTAAACAGTGACACACAAGAGATTTATGATAATTTGCTAACTATTTAATTAACAGTGACACACAATAGATTTATGATATAAGTGTATGTATATAGAATTACCATTTGAATATACTTTTTCGAATACTTGATTGAAAATAGACTTTTTATTTAAATAATTCAATCATATTTTATTAGATAGTATAATGGTAATAGCTATTTGTTCAACGCATTTAAAATAATAATTGTAATGCGGTCAAACAAGCTTATGTATTTGGCAGATAGTAATTTGGTATATTACGAAACATACACGTACGCAACGTAATTAGAAATTAACCAAAGCAGGCTTACTTGATGTTAATACTGTTACTGTATATATATTTCTATGACAACATGGCGAAAGTAACCAATATATATCTTTCCTGCCACCTCCTTATCATATTATCCATTGTCTAATTAAGTCTAAGAGATCTTAAAGTAAAGGATAATCTCCTTGTAGTGCAAAACTTTATTCCTTCAAAAATATATGGTTTCATATATTACATCCAAAGAAAAACATAATTATCGAAGTTTCAAAAGGTCGTTTATTTAGTAGTTATTTTCTACTGTTCGTTTTTTAAACTCAACAACTCTCAACTAAAACATTTTTTTATACTGCATATATAAATATAGCTAAAACATTATTTATTGATTAATTTAATTGAGGTAGACAAAAAGCCAAAGGGTAGTTGAACTCCTCGGGACTATATATATATATATATAACACACAATAATGAAACAGAAAATGAATTAACTGTATATAGAATAAACTGTACCAGTTGTATGATTTAGTTGAACTCTCGTCGAACAATCTGGTTTATTACGTAGTTCGATCCTTATCTGGTCGGCTAGACATAGTTCGTTCCTGGCTACAAATTACTGGGCTTTGGGCTTAAATAAATTTATTCAGCAAGGTTATTGGGCTTCGAAAGTAATTCAACTTTTGTTCTATTGGGTTCTTTAATGGTTTCATTTTATATTTAGTGTTATAATCTGTAGGTTGACCTCTACATGCACATTTGCTTCAGTTAATTTTTAATGCAAAGAAATATTAAAAAAAAAAACAAATGAAACATAAAATGAATTAACAGTCAACCCATACTATTTGGGCCGACAATTTGTGACTATATTTCTTTGAAGGCCCAGAAGGAGAATATAATGCCGGTGGCTCTGGCTGCCCACGCGTGCGTGACCGTCTTCTTCTCCGTCGACGAAGCGGAGAGAGAGAGAGAGAAAGAGAGAGAGATGATGGACAATATATTCGAAGGGCTTCCCCCTCCTTCATCTCAGCAGCAAGACCTACCAATTTCATCAAAACCAGACGAGTTCAAGAATGAAAGTTCCTCCTCGGCTCCGACTCTGGTTCTCAAGAGCTCCCTGAAGCGATCGAAGCCGGTGGAAACTGTACCCAATGTCTCAGGTAAGCTTAATTCTCGAAAATTATCTCCACTACTGATCTATCTTATCTGAATTTCGATCATTCTGGAACCTTGTTTCTCGGCGTTTTTCTAAATTCCGTTCGTGTTGCGTTCATTAAATCCACTACTCGTTGTTTGTGAAAGCGGAAAGCTTGTTGTTGATTGAACTTGAACTTAACCCCCACCCCCTAAATTTGGTGCTGCTCTCTGTTGAAACTAGTACACATCGTCCTTCTGTTACTGATCTGATTCAGTGCTCAAATCTCACAGCTCCTCCTGTTCTCAAGAGCGCACTAAAGCGGTCAAAGCCAGCTGAATCTATGCCGGAACCAGAACCGGAACCGGAAGGTACATATGTTTGAATGTAGATTCGGTACTTCATCTTTAGAATAAGAATGGAACCATCGACATATAATGAATTCCGAAGTGTACTACCTACTTACTGTCTCATAGGTCTACGAATTGGGAAATGATATTCTCCGTTTTGATAAGTTGATTCAGTTCTCTTGTTGAATGATCATTTTCAGCCCCTAAAAAGCGTCTACAGTTTAAGACATCAACCGATGCATCAGAAGAACAAGTGATACAGGCGATGCAGAAGATAACATCTCACATCAAGAACCCTTCCAAGTTCTCCAAAGCCTCAAAGCTTGCAATACGGCTGATCCAAGCTGGAAGTGTGAAACCAGAGACAAGCGGCCACTTCATCGCGATGCTCGAAGCTGCCATGTCATCGAAAACTCCTTGTACAGATCGCTTGGTTAGAGTAGACTTTCATGCGTTGTTCTCAGCAGCTCAGGATGTTGCCGAGGTAATCAAATAAACTCCTGGCTAAATATATTGAACTACATTATATGGCATGTGCAGGTGGGGAAGATATTTGATGAATGTCCCTTTCTTTTGTTCTAATTCAGTGCCTTGATAAAAGCCAGAAGAATCTGTTGACCATATGGACAATCAAAGCAGTTGTTGCTAATGACCTCTTTACTGATGACAGCTTTATGGTAAGACTCCATATACCTTCTTTCAGGTTCTTTCCCTTTAGACTATGTTTCGCTTTAATTGCTTATGTTTGGACTATAAATTGCCTCGTCACTGTGTTATATTGACCTGTATTGTGGACATTACTCTCTTGAACCCATCATCCTCTGACGTTTTCATAGTGTCTCTTATACATCGTTTTTCTGTTTTAGTTTTCCAAGACTGCTACTCGTGTAAAGGAGGCTATATCTGATCTTCCTGTCTCAACTGAGGAAGATGACGCGGAAGAAGCAGCTGCTCTTGAAGAAGAGGCCGTGAAGGACAGGGGAGATGGGCAGGCAACACAGGACCTAGCTGAAGCTGCTTCAGCTGGAGACCAAGAGCATGTCGAGTCTGATCCCTTTGGGCTCGATGCCTGGATTCCCAATTGTGGAAAGAAGAATGGTAAAACAAAGATGAGGAAAGACTTAGCGGCCAGAACAACCGAAGGTACAGATGCCGAAGAGAATAAGAGATTTCTCAGGTCAAAAAGAGAAGCTTTGATTATATGCCTGGAGATTGCTGCACGCCGTTACAAAATTCCATGGTAAGAATGCTTCCATGAATCATAGTACCCATTGAGCTTGTAACTATTGCGAAATCGAGGAATGATTGGATTCATTTTCAGGTGCCAAACTGTTATAGACATATTGGTGAAACATGCATTTGAGAACGTGTCGAGGTTCACATCACAGCAGAGACAAGCAGTGGAGAAACTTTGGGCTTCAGTTCGAGAACAACATCTCCGTAGGAAGCAAGGCAAATCAGTGACAGGGAAACTTGACGTTACTGCATTCGAGTCTCTTCAGGATAAATACGCCAACGAGAAGATGAGCATCCGGAGCTCAGTGGGAGCCAGCGGTGAACGCCGTGCACAGCAATGGCTCGGTTAATGAACAAAAAACTGTAATTGGTATGATTTTTACACTAAGACGATTAGTAGGAATCAAAAGGAGAAAATCTTAAATGTTTGCTCTGTTTCTTCTGATTGTCTTAGAACAAAAAGTTCTCACCTTTATCCAAAAATTTTACATGATCTATTACAGGAGATGTGTACTCATTCTCTATATTCAGTCCCAGTTTTGATTACTCGTCTGCCAATCATCATCATCTTCTCTCGGCGGCCTCACCACCAAAAGAACCATCCCTAAACTCTTCTGCACACTTCCCGCCTTCAACGTGGATCCTTTCTCTAGCTTCAGCCCATTCTCAGCCACCACGAGATAGTATCCGTCATCAGCCTCCACCGCGTTCCTCTCCCTATCCGCCACCACCAGTAAAGGCTCCTCTTTTCCGTCCCACGGCATCACTTTTCTATCATCCCTGAAAGAAACCGCTACACCGCCTTTCCCAATCGCTGCCACTGGTTTCCACGCCGGAAGAACCACCCATCTCTTCCACCCTTTCTCCGCCTCAACAACCTTGAAATCCCCTCCCGCCTTTATTTCCATCGGGGCTTCAAGAATGTTCTTTTCCCCTTCCTCTGCTTTACAAACCGGTAAAACAACCACCGAGCTCGCTTCCGCAACCTCTCCGAACTTTAGTCTCACCACCGGAATCCGAATAGCTTTGACTTCCTCTTCCTTCTCCTTCTCTTCTTCCTTCTCTCCGTGGAGCTCTCTCAGCAGCTTCTTCTTGGCCTTTTCGGATTCTGCAGCCTCCAATGCTTGTTGAAGCATCGAGGTTCTCTGCTCCGATGGGTTCTTGTTCTCTCTGCTCTGCCTGTAGTACAGGAAAGAGAGACAATCTCCAGGTAGATTGTAATCGAAATCCAACCATCCAACGTCTCCACGCCGGCTAGGATAATCCTTGATGGCTCGCGCCAAATCCTGCGCGCCTTTCGAGTCGAAATTGCGATCGATGATGTACGTTGCGGCGGCTACGCGCTGCGTTGTGCTGAGGAGGCGGATTTCGTAGAGAAGCTCTGCACCCCCGGTGTCGAACGCCGCAATGAGCTCCGGCTCATGGAGGGATTGCACAATTGAGTCGCGAACCTTCGCGCCGACGATTAGACGGTTCTGTTCGATGCTGGAGATTCCGGTGAGCTCTTCGATGTTGGGAGGAGTGAGACCATCGGCGTAGAGGGAAGAGATGAGTGGTGCGTATTCGAACCAGAGAGCCAAGCGGCTTGCGAGGATTTCGATCTTACCGGCGGAATCGAGTGAACGGAACTGGGGTGGTATCGGAGATGACGGAGGTCGGAAAGGCTGATACAGCTGCTGTCGCGCCGGTGGGTTTTTGGGAATCATGTTTTGGGGTTTCCGGGACGCCGAGATGGTGACTGTAAGGGTACGAGGTGCTGGATTAACGGGTCGGGTAATCGGGTTAGTGAGTAATCCATTGGTCGTGGATTGTGTGAAAGGTGAGAAGATTGAGGATTTGAGAATGTTTGCAGTGAGAGAAAGCATGATGAGTGAGAGGTGTTGCAGAGTGAAGACGAAGATGGTATAAATTGCCTTATCTCGAATAATTGAGAGAAAAACCAAAAAGTCTGAACCGATTCTTTAGCCGGATGTAAACCGGATTGGTTCAAAGTTCGCATATTCGTTCTAGATTTTTTCCTCGTGAACATTTTGTCCTAGATATTTCTCTTTTAGTGGAGGAAAATGATGTTAACAAATCAGAACTGTCTTTTCTTATTACAAGTTGTTATCAACATTCAACCTCAAACAAGTGCCCTTTATTTACAAATGTTTACAAGTTGTGTATATTCATCTCAATTTTTTAACTCCGTTTTTTTTTTCATTTTCTAGTTTAGATAAAATGGTTTAACATTCCCTCATTCAACCTAAAAAACCAGTGCTATCTAATGAGAAGTTGGTAATTCCTAAAACGAGAAATGATTGATTTTTTATCATGCAGATTTGAAACTGAAAAAATAACATTACTAGCAAAAATGAGCCTACATATCCTGTTCAAATGCGAAATGATTCAATTGTTGCAAATATTATATATCAGTCATTTTATGAGCTACAGTAGTTGTCGAAAAAAGTCATTTTATACGCATATAATATATTACGTCCCTTTTATAAACAGCCTTTTATATGATTAGCCTGGAAATGGACCCGGAATTTGATAAAACTAGCCCAAAAGAGATAAAGTCCAGTTAAATGGGCCCAGCATTAGCCCTTAATTTGAACAAAATATTTTCAAGCTACTTTCTCGAATGACAAAGCCAAACACAGCAACGTTTGACTATTCGGATGAGCATATATACACACCATCACTCTTAACTCTAATTTACACTCTACTCATTATCGAAAACCAGAGAGCTTCAATTAATTGCTTTGGAAGTTTCCAACGTTCACCATCCATGCATGACCTGCAAATTTATTTTAAAATAAAATTATACTACCGAATTCCAAAGAAAAATTAGAATATTTCGAAATTTGAAACAGAGACGAAGACGGCTTACGAAGAGCATCTTCTGCGGAAAATCTCCTGGAAACATCGCGACAGATCATTTTCCTCAACAGATCCTTCGCTTCTGCTGATACCGATTCGAATTTCTTCGGTGGAAACCTCAGATTCCCTCTCAGGATCGTTTCGAAGATCTGTTCCGCCGTCTCGCCGTTAAACGGTGGCTCTCCAGCTAGCATCGTGTAGATAACCACGCCGGCGCTCCATATATCCACCTTCTCGTCGTACCTCCTCCCCATAACAACCTCCGGCGCCACGTAATACGGTGTCCCCACGACTCCCTCCGCCGTCTCTGTTTTCTCTCCGCCTAGCCACGCCGCCGATCCGAAATCGCATAGCTTAACGCCACCGCTTCCGATATCCACTAAAACGTTGTCCGGTTTTACATCCCGGTGAACGACGCCGTACCGGTGACAATGAGCTAGCGCGCCGAGGATTTGTCTGGCGTATGAGGCGGCTTCTGATTCGGATAACCGCCCGGCGGCGGTGATTAACCGATCGTATATCGTCATAGGCGGATCGACTAGCTCCATTACGATCGCCAGAGAATCCTCTGTTTCGAATAGATCGTAGATCCTGACGATATTCAGATGCGGTGGTAGCATCGCCATGATCCTAGGCTCCGTCTCTATACACTCGCGATCTAGCGCGTCTATTAGCACGCGCTTGTCTATCGTTTTGCAGGCGTAGAATTCTTTAGTCACCGGTGAAAAACAGCGAGTGATTGTTCCGAATCGACCTCGGCCGATCTCGTCGCAAATCTGGTAGTTATTTTTATGTTCAAATTCTCCGGTCATCGGAATATTCTCTTTATTATTGTGCGTAATATAGTTTCTTCGCAACTCGGTTGATCTGGTGAGTCGTGAGGGAACGTTTTTATAGAGGAAGAGAATCAGAATACTATAAAGAGTATATTCCGTTTAAGGATGTTAAACAATACTCCCTTTGTTCCATATTGTATGATGTTTTGAATTTTTTATTTTGTTCTATAAAAATTGATTTTCTACATTATATTTAATATATTTCTGTTTCCAAAACAACTTTTTGGGTTAAAAAGTATAAAAAATTAGTATTAAATTAATAAACAAATAAAAAGTACTTTAAAAAAGTAAATAATCATTGTTTTCTTAATATCTGTGAAATATCTAAAACATCATACATTCTGAAACAGAGGGAGTATTCTGTTTTTAAGCATCGGTATCTATAGTCAAGCTTGGAGAAGAGAAAGCAAGCAAGTTACAGACTAGTTAACTAACGGCGACGTTAAGTAACCTCCGCGTGTTAACTTTCTATTGAATCTAATACATATTCAGTTTAACAAATTATATTGTCTGTAATTATTCTAATCTTCGTTAAAATATTGAGGAAAACGAGAAGCTAAGCCCTTTAATCTGCATTAAAAGTTAAAACAATTAATTCGACGAGTCAAATTACATAAAATGCAGATAAACACGTTCAGCATGTCCTTATTGTACAGAATCATTTGAAAATAAACAGAAGTCATATACTTGATGTGATTATTTGAATATACTATAATATAAGACCTCAAGTTGTTTTCAAATACAATGTATGATTAACTCTGCATTATTTAATCTCAATCTATTATATAATGTTCGTGTGGCATGCTTGAATTGTATAGGACTCTAGCTAATAATAATGATTGTTCTATTTGCTTATTTTAGTAAAGTAAATCAGTCATTCTTTAGTGCGTTATTAGTCGATCATCCAAAGGTTGTTAATATGCCTGGTTTTAGACAAAGTTGGCATAGAATTTTGTGTGTGGTGGTGTGATTTGTGTCGTCTTCTCGATTTCTTTAAGCCTAGTTTGTTAGGCAGATGTTTTTAATAATACTGTAGAGATGATTAATAGGAAATGACATTTTGAGAAATATATCGTTTTCTTATTGGCCTTGCCATTAGATCGGAAATACTCATTAAACCATATGGTCCATATCCTAGTTTGTGTTATTAAGGCAATAATCAATCAAAGACCACTTTGATTCACTATTATGTATGAAATTGACATTTGATTAGACCGTGAATAAGATTATAGAGATCGTTAAACGTTAATCAGAAGACCAATAGTTTAGAATTTAAACCAACGCAATTGCTTTGATTTTTTAAAATCCGTAGCCGAGATTAATTGTCAAAAATGATCGATCGCGTTATCAGTTATCACCTGTTTTTAATAAATGGAAAAGAATATCCATTTAGCATTTTTTTTTCTTCTTGTAAAAACGTACTTATCATAGATACGTTGGGAAAAGGATACCTTAATCCAAAGGAAATCATTCAGACACGATATATTAAAAATTAATATACCAAAACTTAACTGATTGATATTTGATGACGTATTGTAGTAAACACTATATGATATCTCGTGCTGACAGCAAAAACACATGTCTCGGTCTTATTAGTAAGTAGCCAGTTTAGTTATGTAATCATTATTGATAAATTTATTGGATGAATTTGAATGATTTGAATTTTATATGAGAATGTACTTTATTTATTTGTTGGAATGCCGCCATCAGATTTTACAAAACAGCCGACGCATACACATTCGTCAACTAAGAGTACATAGAAATTACAAAAGTATATAATACAATTTTGAGTGGAGTACTAAGGTTATTTGGCGGAAACCAAAAACGTTCGCGATGGGACTCGAACCCACAATCTCCCGCTTCGGAGGCGAGCGCCTTATCCATTAGGCCACGCAAACATTTATAATTAATTACAGTATATATAACATAATAATGGTATATTATTTGTATACCACTAATTTTGTGTGTGATAATTGTTATTGTTAATATTATTTTAGAGATTTGTTTGTTAACTTAAAATATCATTTCAATATATAACCATATAATACTACATATTACCTTATATCCATGCATTTATAATAACAATTAGCACAAATTTGTTTCAATTTTTTTTAATGAAATTTTCCAAGTCAACAATTAGCATACATTTTTTTTTATTTATTACCTTTTATCCATGCATTGAGAAAAATGTTGGGAATAAAAAATAATCTGAAAATATTAAACCGAAAATGACATAATTTTTTTTTTTTACAAAATCAATAGGTTTGTGTTTTCTGGGTATAAAATGTTAAAGAGTTCATATGTTTAATAAAATTTTAATTATACTAATATTTGATAATGTTTCGTTGGCTAAATAATCAAAAATTTAAATGAATTCTATGTATCCGTAAATTTGTATAACATAAAAGAAAAATTATTTTAATTGTTCTACCATATACCATCATTTACTTTTACATTAAAAATCAAAGAGAAACGTCAAAAGAAAAAAGGAGAATGCAATAAGATAAGAGATTAGGCAGAAACGTTACGAACTTTACTTTACCAATTTGTCATTATGCATCCAGCAGCTATTTGGTTGGACCCGTCTACTTTCTCTCAGATTCCCTGTCTTTATTCCGTAATCGATTAGATAATCACTCATTTAAGTCACTCGCTCCAAATACACATCTCTTATCAGCTCTTCACCAAGAACAAAGAAACATATAGCTTAACAGAGAAAACAAATAACAATATCGGTATGGTTAATTAATACTCAGTGATATAGTATTCTTATTCTTTATCCAAATCCAATAGGATGTGTTTTTTTTTTCAGTCATCAAGATGGCAACGCCAACAATAAGAACCGTTGATCTCCGGTCAGACACGGTGACTAAGCCAACTGAGTCAATGCGTTCAGCGATGGCAAACGCGGAAGTAGACGACGACGTTTTGGGGAACGATCCAACTGCCGTGCGTTTGGAGAGAGAGGTGGCGGAGATCGCCGGAAAAGAGGCGGCGATGTTTGTTCCGTCGGGGACAATGGGGAATCTGATAAGTGTGTTAGTCCATTGTGATGAGAGAGGGAGTGAAGTGATTCTTGGAGATGACTCTCACATCCACATCTACGAAAACGGCGGCATTTCAAGCCTCGGTGGAGTACATCCTAGGACGGTGAAGAACGAAGAAGACGGGACGATGGAGATTGGTTCTCTTGAAGCTGCTGTGAGGAGTCCTAAAGGAGATCTTCATTATCCGGTTACTAAGCTTATATGTCTTGAGAACACTCAAGCAAAGTAAGTCTTTGTTTCCCTACTCTTTAATACCATGCATGTTTGGTGTAGAGGTTTAGTTTAGGTTTCATTTTAGGATACTTTGTTATAAAAAGAAAAATAAATTATTGTGATGTGTAACTCAAAACGATAGTAATTAAACCCATTAGAGAAAACGAATTAATTTTTTGTTGATGCAGTTGTGGAGGTAGATGCTTGCCTATAGAGTATATTGACAAAGTTGGAGAATTGGCCAAGAAACATGGCTTGAAGCTTCACATCGATGGAGCTCGGATCTTCAACGCTTCTATTGTTAGTATACAAACATTTCAATATATAATTCGTTTTTCATATTATGTTTTTCCGAATCCATCACTCAAATACGTGTGTTCAATGCTTTTGAAGTTTGTAAGTTCATTTTTTTGGATCTTGATTAGGCACTCCAAGTACCGGTGAAGAGGATTGTTCAAGCCGCAGATTCAGTCTCGGTATGATTCATCAAAACATTTATATTGTCTTTGCATCAATGTTTGAAAATTACGGTTGAAATCTAAACCGGTCACTTCGATGCGAGTAGATTTGTTTGTCGAAAGGTGTAGGTGCACCGGTCGGTTCGGTCATCGTGGGAAGCCAAAGGTTCATCAATAAAGTAAGTTGGCTATGAATCAAATTGAGACGGCTAAAGAGCAATTATTTTTATTCCGGTTCAAGTACTAAATTATTGAAATGCAGGCAAGGTGGTTAAGGAAAACATTAGGCGGAGGAATGAGACAGATCGGTGTGCTCTGCGCCGCAGCATTGGTGGCTCTCCATGAAAACGTCGACAAGCTTGACAATGACCACAAGAAAGCCAAGATCTTGGCAGGTGATCATTACCCGGATTTCTTGTTTTCCGTTATTTCTTACCCGGAGTATCAAATTTAAGGTGAACGTGTGAACCGATTGATTTTTGTTTTTGGTTTTCCTACATTACCAGAAGGACTGAACCGGATTGAGCGGTTAATAGTGAATGTTGGGGCAGTGGAAACGAACATCGTAAGTGTCTGAAGTGACTTTGTTAACCATATTCGTGTCCGGTTACTTAACCCAAAACTAAACTGGTAACCGGTGCGGTAAGGCAAATTTCACGATTCTGCATAAAACCAAGATTTTACGGGTTTGGCAGTGTAAATATGAAAAGTTTTTGTTCTTTCAATATTATTGAAACTAGGACTATATATTATCTACACAGACCACTTTAATAAATGATAATTGAATGGCCGTATGGTTTAAGCTTATTTGTTTGATTGTAGTTTAAAGACATTTTCTTTTCTTTTTCGTTGTAATACAAATTATCATGCGCAGATATACGTAGATATACCAAAAGATCCAAAATTTGGAGCAGAAGATGCATGCAAGAGTTTGGAAGTTCTCGGTGTGCTTGTCATACCTCAATCTACATTCAGGTACTAAATTGTAATTCAGTTTACTTGTTTTTTGTATGAGTCGGTTTATATTTCACATGTCTGTTGCATCCCTACAAAAAAAAAACAAAGTTTAATTTTCTTATGAAAGCAATATAAAACAATTCATAACAAACAAAAAAAAAAAGAAAAAGAAGAAAAGTAGGCAGCTAATTTTGCTGCATTGTTTGCCATAATGGGCTGGCCGCTGGCGCATTTGATAGCTATGCCTATTAGTAATAAGATGTGTAACTTTGAGTTTATGTTCTGTTTATATACAGAATCAGGATTGTTCTACACCACCAAATCTCAGATAGCGACGTGGAATATGTACTCTCTTGTTTTGAGGTACTTTGCTTTCCATAATTGATTTCTTTACTACGCTTTATAATTTTTTTGATTAATTGCTTTTAATTATTTTTTTTCAGAAAATATTTTAGCTCGATGCCAGAAGAGAAAGTTTGATCAGTGTCAGTCCAGCGTTTTAGAATATTTTATGCAATTTTTTAAAATTGTACGTTTTAATGTGTAAAATCATAAATAAAAAATTGTAATAATATAATTGTGGTATCCTAATGAAGTCTTAGATTCAGGAGAAGCATCCTCCAAAAATTATTTCATTCTCAATGAGAATAGAATTTTCTCCTTCTGATCTTTGTTATAGTTTTGACAATGCTCGTTTATTGATATCTTCTTTTTAAAGTCTTAGATTTTTTCTAATCAACTATTATTGTCTTTTAAGTGCAGTTTAGGGCTTCCCTTTGAATAAAATATTACAAGAAATTATGATTTGATTTTTTTACTACACAATATACACTTTTCAGTTTTTTTTGGTCAAATACACTTTTCAGTTATTTAGCTCTTAATACTGCTAACTTTGTTGGGCTTAAATATGAATACGGGTTTATCATTTAGCCTGACTTTCATAAGTAATTTTGTTGGGCCTAAATATGATTACCGGCTGAAGAAAGAATCTTAAATCTCTTACACCAATACTTTCCAACAATGAATAATTTTGGGAAAATTTATTTATTGACATATTTATCTCACTGCACAATTCAATTTATTGTTGGAAAGTTTTATAATCATAGTTAGGTGGTATGGTATTAAAACTTATAAATCGATGTATGATATAGATATATAGGCTTGGGATGCTCTTAAGCTTTTTGTTAAAAAGTATTATTTATAAGCTTCAATTTATTGTTGGAAAGTTTTATAATTATGATAGAAAATACGCCTTTTTGCATTTTGTATCATAAATTTTTACTTTGATAAATGCAAAATTACAATCAGATTTATTTCTTTCAAAGAAAGGAAACAATTATAATATGAAGTTTGACTAAGAATACATTTGAAGTCAAATTCTAGAAATTTCCGATATAAAAACTAAAAATGGAGGAAAATAAATTAAAGAAAAAAAAGAAAAATCGAAATTGAGGTCGATTAAACTTGCCTGAAAGCCTGAAGCCTTTCGGTTGCGATTCGGCGTTTTCTTGTATTCGACGATCTCCGATGTCAATCCCGCCGTCTTCAGCTTCTTCTTCATCATCTTCAGCGTCCCAGTTCACGCACACAGCAAATTCGTACTATTCCGCGCCTTACCAGCCTCCACAGCCCTACGTGGCGCCATCGCCTGCTCCAGCGCCGCCGGTGGTACCCGTTCCCGGAGTCTCGGTTTATCCGCAGCCTGCTGGCCCGGTTCCCGCCGTTTACGCTTACCCTCAGTACCAGCAGGTTAGTGGGCTTTAAAATTCGTAGAATCCGATTCATAGCTTTTTGGGGTTCAAATTAGGGCTTTCGAAATCCCTCTTCTTTGACTTTCGTTTTTGTTGTTGACGAGATAGCAGTTCCCTTTATGATTGTGTGATGCTTGTTACGGAAGATACCAATTACGGATCCCACATGGTTTACAGTTAAAGCTTTGCTCTTTGGATTTGTTTTACTCGTTCAAGCTTAAGTTAGACTGATTGGTATCGTATTGGCAGGCGCATCAATTGTTCCAGAGAGATGCACAGACCATCACACCAGAAGCCCTTGAGAACGTGAAAGCCGCTTTGGCAAGTAGTGAAACCGAACACAAGGCGGAAACTAAAAAGAGAGCCATCCCTCGTAAAGCTGCTGGACAGTCTTGGGAAGATCCTACTCTTTCAGAGTGGCCAGAAAGTAAGCACTGCCCTTGTACTTGAGAGTTTGCTGGAGTTGAATCGTAGTTTTTCATAGTTAGGCTTTGGTTGCTCTTAAGCTCTTTTTGTCAAATCGATTTCTTACAAGTTTCTGCGTCACTTTTGCCAGATGACTATCGCCTGTTCTGTGGTGATCTTGGGAATGAAGTGAATGATGATGTTCTTTCCAAGGCATTTGCTCGATTCCCAACCTTCAATATGGCCAAGGTAAGTGTGTATATCTCTCCTCCTTTTTGGGTTTCGTGATGATTCATACCTGTTTTTGCTATGAACATATATTTGAGAAACAAGTCTTGTGATTAAGGATTGGTTAGACACGTAGAAGTAAATATGTACAGAACATGGTTGACCTTAGATATTCCAATGTGAATCACAAAGAGAAGAATACATTGCACGTTCTGTGGTCAAGTCTTCTACAGAAAATAAGAATCTTATCTACCATGTCAGGTCATCAGAGATAAGCGGACTGGTAAAACCAAGGGTTATGGGTTTGTGAGTTTCTCAAATCCTGCGGATCTAGCTGCAGCCCTAAAAGAAATGAATGGTAAGCATCTGGTTTTGCCTCATCTTGATATCTTAATTCACTGTTTCTGTCTGAACTTGTTATATAGTATGATTCTGTATTGTAATCACTGCCAATGAACATTTTGTTCTAGTCCATTGATTTGATATGAATACACAGGTAAGTATGTTGGAAACCGTCCAATAAAACTAAGAAAGAGCAGCTGGAAAGAGAGAACAGACCAGGAGGCTGCAGAAAGACAAAAGGCAAGTGTCTTGGATCTGTTTTGAATTGATAGATAAATTTTTCAAAGGAAATTTTCTTTTGTGAGTAACTAATTATTGAGTTTGAACATGGTAAATGCAGCATCAAAGCAATAAGAAGCAAAAGACAGTGAAGAAGAGCATACTTCACAAGTGAATAAATTCATCGCATTCTGAAGGCGTTCGTGAGAAGGAAAAAAACTGAGGGGAATAATTCTGGTTTCTACTTTTTTGTTTGTTTGTGTTACCCTTTGATATTTATTATTATTAACCAATTAAGTTGGAATTCAGACTGTTGTCCTTTTATAAAGAAAAAATAATTAAACGTAAATGCCAAAACTGTGTGTTAACAACGAAATAGCTAGAAAATAGCTCCCAATAACCTGCAGCGTAATTGAACACTCGATCTATAAGTTTCAGACACGCAGAAGTAATCATAAGTAAAATCTAAGCAAAATACATACAAAAGATGAGCAAAGTACAAGCAAAATATAAGAAAAAAATACAAAACAAAATATGCAACGACTTCGTGTATTAGTGATACCTTCCATTACTTACCGAATCAATTTAAACGGTAACAATAGTTAAGTTAAAGATTAAGTTCTATAAAGTGAACGATAACAAGTTAAGTTCAAGATATTATCGCTTAATTCGATATACCATGAATTTGATTTTCAATATTTTTAATCCATATGTTAGTTCCATGCCTCTTCACTATATCGTCAACATCTTCCTTTTGAAATAACACAATGTGCATGTCCCTTTCGAACCCTTAATTAATTAAGCTCTACAAAAATATAGGAGAAGGAATAGTTAGATCTTTAGTTTTGTTGAAAAAAATTGAAGAGATGCACCAACGTCAACATCTATTCTCTCTCGCGTGTCTCTCTCAAATGGTCATTTCTTCGTTTCCTCTTAATTAACCAAATAACAAACCGGACTTTGGTAACTTCAAAATATAATAAATACAACACAAAAATTAGAAATAAAACTAAAAAAGAAAGAAAAGACCAAAACATAAACAAAGAAAAATAGAACTCAACCTAGGTAAACCGCTCCAGCATGTTCATGTTCAGATCCTCCGTAAGAGAAACTTGTGTTACTATACTTATCGATTCTATAGTAGGCCGGGTTGGTCGCTTTTACTATAAGATCGTCAACATGCTGAAAACTGCCTATGTCAACGGCAATCTGTAGATCTCACATGTAAGCAGTTCTAGTGTTTCCCCGGAAGATACCCGGACCCCATTTGGGTTAACCATCAACGTAAGTTTCTGTTACGGATTTTATTTCTTAAAAATCAAAACTGACATGTGACTTATTTTATTAATATTCAACCTATTTTGATAAAGTTTCTTTCTATTCTTTTTGATAAATAAAAAAAACAGTCTCCAGATAAAAATATCATATCATAAAAATAGTATAAAGATATTCATAAAAATAATATAAAGACAAAGGTTCACATGACCACGAATCAACCTAAAAGCATTAACATTATCAACCATCTATACATTCAAGATCTAAAATTTACTGAGCCGTGGAGATATTGCCTGTAATCACAACATTTAAGATTTTTGTTCAAAAATCTAAAACTAAGAGAGGAAAGCTAACTAAAACAAGCTTGGAGCTACATCCGATAAAAGCCGGAAGAGAGAGAGAGAGAAAGGCCTCAGACGTTCACTTTGGTTGTATCTGAGATGAAGAGCCCAACACTAAGGGTATCTACTACGGTCACGTTGAGGTGCGTAATCGTCTTTCGTTATTTTTGCTAATAATTAAAAGGTCATTCAGATGTAGTTTAAAGGGATCAAACTTTGAAACTTTTAGTTTCTTTAATGCGTTCTCAATTCCAACAAATTTGCAGGTTGTACATTCTGTTCTTAGGTTGCGCAGTACTCTCAGCCAAAACGACGCCTATACTAACCATCTACGTAAGTTTCTGTTACCGATTTTATTTCTTAAAAGTCGAAACTGACATGTCACTTATTTTATTAATATTCAACCTATTTTAATTTGACAGATTTTTGAGAGCTTTCTTAGTACTCACGCTATCCATCTCTGTTGGACTCTCGGCCAAGACGACGCCTATACTGACTATCAACATAAGTAAAATCTAAGCAAAATACAAACAAAAGATAAGCAAAGTACAAGCAAATATAAGAAAAATCTAAACAAATTACAAATAAAAGATAAGCAAAAAATAGTAAAATATAAAAGAAAAGTACAAAATAAAAAATGCAACTATTCAAATTTCAGAATCATATGATATCAAAATCTAATCGATGAACTTATTATGCTATGTTCATATTAAAAATGAACACAAGTTATTAGTTTTTTGTAAACCATATGTTAAATATAAGTATATAATTCAGTTATTACTACTCAATTAAAATCTTAAAAAATGACTTAAAATCTAATTTTAACCAAGAAAGAGAGTTAAAATATACACGAATTTTGTGATTTTGAAGAAGTGGATGGTTAAAATTATACCAGTTTTTCTTTTAAATTAACACAATCTATAATATACTCATCTAAAATCTCTGTTTTTTTACAAGAAAGAAAAACATTATTAATATTGGTTGAATAAATAAAAGAAAATATATTGTAGGATATTCAGTTATGACAAAGCAAAAGAAAATATAACCGGTCATGTTAACTTAACAACCCAATTTGTCAAATTAAAATTAATAACAAATTTATAAACATGCCATCTAAAATATGAAGAGTCTCGGCTGGTAGTCGACATATTATATAACTGGGGGTAAACCTAAATAACAAAATAATTAGTGTTTGTTTGTTCTACTTACTTCCTTAACTCCACCCACACCCACCCCATAGGAATAGTAGGCCCAACATGGGAGAATAAAGAAATTGATCATAAGCCCAAAACCAAAATAAATTGTTCGGCCATAAACTTAAGCCCAAACCCAAAAGAAATTGTTTGCCCATAAACTATCTTTTGTCGTTGAGTTTGATGAACAGTGGTCATGGGTCAGAGTTTTGAATCGATCAAAAAAACTAAAGTTTGATTCGAATATCCATTTCCTGAAGAAGCAACGTCTGATCTTGGTTCCACAGACGTCATGCGATCGCATCGCAGACGATACAGCAGTAATGGAAGGTATCTGTTCACTTCATTTTATTATACCAAGTTAAGTTGAAGATTTTATTGCTTAATTCAAGATAACATGGATTTGATTTTATTTTTTTATTAATTTTGAGATATGTAAATCATGGTATTGCTATATGACCACATTTAAACATTTAGTGACTATTATTGAAAATATAACTAAAAAGATTTTTATTTTTTATATTTGACCAGGTACACACTAGTCACTAGTGCTGCTACTCAAAACTCAAACCATGTCATAATCACAGTCCAACATCAAAAATTCGACGAGAAGATTTTTGAGGTTTTATTACAAGATTCGAATCTTGAGTTTCTCTGTTTTCTCACTAGAAGAAGCCGAAAATAGGTTGATGAATAAAACATTTGGAAAACCTTTATGATATTTGTTGCCTATAGGTTTTCTTACTCCAAATTTTCTTTATTCCAGGCCCGATATATTTGCTGCTTCAAATTTTCAGGAGTTTAGAGTTTGTACTCAAAGTTTCTAACCTTGACTAAAATGAAATCATAGATCTGATGGTGTATGGGATCCAACCAAGTGAGTTTAGTTTTAAATTGTCTTCTTATAGTGTCTCTGCAGATTTCTTCTTTTTAATTGTGTCTCTCTCTCTGCAGTTCATTCACATTGGCTCCTACCTTTGCCAATGAGGTTGTCTCTATGGTGGTTTCTGCGAGCACAAGGCATGCACAAACAAAAGTATTCATCTTTGCAATTACAAAGGAGAGATGAACGAATTGAGGAACCTCATGTTCTACTTGCACGTTATGTTCCACGTTATTACATACTGGACATTCGAAAATGTCATGGGATTTGTCACTGATCCAAAGTTCATTGGTATGGAAGAGACTCTATTGTATGCTGTGGAAGAGAAAGAAGTTAAAGCTGTGAAAGGGAAAGTAGAGAATGAAGCGGTGAAAATGAAAGAAAAGAATGAAGCTGTGGAAGGGAAAAAAGATCATGGAATAACTAGCGTAGGCTTTGTTGCTATAGGCGTAGTGATATGCGCTGTTGAATTTGCTTTGTGTCGTTAGCCAAAAAATGAATTATCTGTATTTACTCTATCAAAAAAATATTTTCGATATACATCTATTTGACGTTTAAAATATCCATAATGGTTTTTTTATTCAACATCCTCCACTTCATTTTTTAACACTCCATATTATTTTCTTTCTTTTCTGTATATTTATTCAACATTTTCATAACTTTTACACTTTACAATGGCTTGTTTAATAAAATTCAACACGTTACCCTATAAACCATATCATATTTTTATTTTATTTTATTTTATATTATTTAGTATCCTCATTAATAACAAAAATATAAGATTAGTGTTGAAATTGATAATTATTAGGATCTGGATAGTTAAAAAGAAAGTTTGTACAATTTTGTGTGTTAAAAAAATTATTATTAGGATCTATTTAATCTTAAAAAGATTTAAAAATATAAAAAGTTGATGAAAAGCAATTAGAAAAATTTTACTGAAAAATTCTATTTTCTTTTATGTCTAAATGAATCGAGACTAGTCTCTAAAACATAAAAAATAGTGAATTTTGATCAGATTTGTTTTTTCTTTAAATGTTTTATAATCAACTATTGAAATTTCAATAATTTGGATAAGATAAAAATTTCAGAAATTTGAAGAACCAAGAAAAAAATGTATATTATTTTAAAGAAATATATATAATTTTAATATAGAATGCGTTCATTTATATTTTGCCACCACATTTTATAAAACCCATTATTTTGTAGTTCAACATATTGAATATTTATCCACAAATAATTCAACAGTTTCATTGTATAAATTAAACTGTTGAATAAATTATTCAATTCCTCTCTTATGTGAATGATAACGTGGTGAATTATTATCCCTTTCGAATTATTGTTAAATGAAGATAACGAGATGACGTGGTGTCTGCTTTGAACATTGAGAACATGGTTTGAATCCTCCCATATTTCACGTTTTTCAACGAACATAATCAAGGGAAGTTTGTCCTTGATATAATTGTCCGGAATAAATGTGATCATTTAACAAAAAATTAAAATGATCTGAAAGAAGAAAAAAAATGATCCGTCATTTTAATTTTTTTTTGTTAAATGATCACATTTATTCAATATAACATAGATTTGATTCGCACAAAAAAAAAGCTTTAGCCAAAAAAAAAAACATAGATTTGAAAGTTTCAATATAACATGGATTTGAAAGTAAAAAGAAATGATCCGTCATTGTATTTTTTTTGTTAAATGATCACATTTATTCATCCTTAGTATTGAAATAAAAGTAAAAAAAGATTTTAATCTTATATTTGACCACTCACAATAGTCACTAGTGCTACTCAAAAGTCAAAACCATTTCGAATCTTGGATTCATCTGTTTCTCCCAGCCGGAAAAAAAGGCTGATCAATATAACACTTGGAAAACCTCTTTAGTTGTAAAATTCGATCACCTAGTCTTGAGAAACCCACGAACTTCAATGAGGAAGTTGTTGAGGTTCTTTCTGAATCTTGGGTAATTGAGACGGTCCAAGGATGAGGATAGCTGGTTCGACGTCGTGAGCAACTGGAGCGCATTGGCTAGCCGAGATTTGAAGTTGGGATTGCCCTGCTTCTCAATCAGTTCGTTGCCCAATCCCTAGAGGTAACACACACAAACTGCTAAGTTACCGCGGTTTCAGACATGGAAACTCGGTTTCTGTCTTTAAAACGAATCCTATATACCGACCTGGTAAAGGTTTGGTTCACAGAGGATAAGCGGGAACAAGGCATCTGCTGCTGTATTGACTAGGTCCAGACTGTAACAAGAAACCGGTTTAAAAAAACTTTCTGAGTAAACCATAAGAAACTGATTATGAAGTATATTTTGGCGAATAGAGTTATACAGTACCTGTAATCCTCAAAGAGAAGAAAGTGAAGTAATGTGCGAAGGAATCGACTCAGGATTCCTTCTCGGTGTACTCCATTCGGATCTGTGTGTCCAGCAGCGTGTAAACCCAAACCCGTGTTGCCAGCTTTTGTCTCTTTGTAGTGATATGAAGCAAGAGCCTTTAGAGCTCTCAGGCACATCGTGACTATATCTCCATCCTGATGAGCATATCAAATAAATAGAATTACTTTAACATTCTTGTTAACCAAGAGCAAAAGGGAATTTACTTATTATCTCTAGTAAAGAAGATTTCACTTCACCTGCTGATGAAGACCAAAGTCAACTGTCGTAAGTACATGGTTAAATGCATCACTGTTGAGTTGTGCCAGCGTCTCGGGGTAAACCTCGAGCATATGTGATATGAGCGAGAAATACTGCAGAATTTTTACGCTTTAGTGAAAGTTCATAACAGTTTATAGTACTATGATAGGTTTAGTCAATCGTAGATTCAAAGCCTTACGTCGAAACAAAGCTTCGGGTATTTGAGGAGTTCCAAAGTTATAAGCGGCGTGATAATATGGAGACCAAAATACACCACCTGTAAGTTCCAAAGAATTACACAAACCATTCTTGTAGAATTTCATTTTAATTAACTCAATTTTTACCTGGGATATATTTGTGCTTTGTGTCTCAATAGTGTCAGATGAAAAGTCAACCTGCAAAAGGTAGCACCACTTGTTAGAAGATAAGTAATACTAGCGAATGTGTTAAAGTTTCTACTTTCTAGTGTGAGTGCAAAAAAGAACGTTTACCATATCTTTTGAGCATAGATGAGAAAGTAGCTGAAGCAGAGCGCGTAAATCCTTGTACTTTTCGGTTTTGGCTTCATTAAGCAAGGTACTCGAGAGAGACAATGATATCTGAGGTGAAAAATAGCAAGTGTATGTGAGGGTACACAAATATTTATCTTGTCTGCTATCAAGCAGTGAAGCTCAGTCTGAACAGAGAGGTAAGAAAGAGATAAGGGCACAGATATACCTTCCCAATATTGTGTGACGAATATATTTGTAGAAGACTCATGCAGAAATTAATAACCACGGCTGTTTCATGAGCCTCTAGGTAAGATAATTGCCCATCCACCCAGTCCACCACAAATTTAAGTAGCAGATAAATCACTGCAGACTAAGCAATAAAAAATAAAATAGTTGGTTTTTCTAAACATAATGGATCAAAAATCAATCACAAGCATTTTGAAGACAGGTAGAATGAAGTGCATCATCTGTATTGAACTGTAGGTATAGACTTTATCAAAGTTCTTAATAACATGTGATAATTTTACATTACGTTTGCCTTAAACAATACCTCGTGTTTGTAAACCTCGAGAAGACGGAGCACAGGATTCATAACAGACAATCCCATCTCATATATTGCTCTCTGTGTCCGGGGTTCAGTGGCACTTGCCGCTCCTCGAAGCCGCTCTAACACACAGCTCACCTAACAAAAAATACGAAAGAAACCTAAGGATTTGGCAATCACTAAACCTAAGTTTTCAAGTGTTTTTCTTCCTCACCAGCATAATGATATCAGGTTGCTGAGCCAGATTTTTAAGGTCACTGTTATTGGACAAATCCACTAAAGATGATGTCATGTGAGCCATGAGGTCCTTCACATATCTTTTGGAAAATAAAAAGAAGGTTATTGGTCAGGCCAAATTTGAGGTTACGATGTGAGAGAAGTGAGCAGGATTTGGAAACTCACTGATTTGATGCATCTGAACTTTGCATTCCATAAGCAGAAAGAACAAGCGTTTGAGCCAATGAACGCTGAATAGAAGTAACACCATATCAAGAAGCAGAACATACGCCAACAAATTAGCCAAAATGTAAACTTTAAGAAACTATACCTGACTAACACTATTTAGCAAGAACAATGTTTTGTCATTTGCAAAAGCATTTGCTAGGTTACGCCAAGAGTCCTGAACATTTTGCATAATGAGTTAGTAACTAAATAAAGACAGGAAGATGTTAATCTACAAGAATTATTTATCAATGAACAGGCTTTTTTCCAATGGATAAAAAAGAAATAAGCAGTAACAGCTTTTCTAGCAGACATATCATGCAACGAGAAATGATAGTGGATACCAAAATATAAGTGCGCTAAATAGCAACATGGGAGCAAAAAATGAAGTTAAAACATGTCATTTATATTGGGAACAAAGCAAAATACAAAAATCGGCCATATCCAACGTATGCCTGACTGGCGAGTTTCTGAACTCACCAGTGATAGAAGGTGAAAACAAATGTTTCTTCGTCGAACAAGTGCATGCAGTAACTGAAAACATGTTAACTCCTGCAGAGAACGAAAACAAAAAGATTAGGAGAATACCATTCTTGAAGAAATGGAAGTAACCTACAGTAACAACCATAGCTTATAACAAAATTCACAGTAAGACCTAAAAGAAATTTTCTATTGCTAGGACTCCCTGGCCTAAAGTCCTTTCGTTATCAAAATTTGTAAAATCAAAGGAAGTTCGAGAGTTCTTCTTGTATCAGTTTACACCCTCTCACAAGCAACTGACTAAATGATAATATCCATCCAACATACCAAATTGTACATAATAAAAACCATTGTATAAGGGTTGTCTTAATCAACAATGTCTATAGAAGGACAAAAGATCATTACCTGCAAATCCTTTTCACCAGGGTAAGACATGAGCGATGTCAAGGAGATCCGGACAATTATATCAAGGACAAACTTCCCTTGATTGTGTTCGTTGAAAAACGTGAATAAACATGCTCTGGAAGGTAGAGACTTAAGCTGGTTGGTACCCAAATTGCAATCTTCAACGAGCATTAGATATGTGAAAGACCATCTTGCAAGGAACCATATGACTGCCTACATATGTTTCTCCAATCAATAACTTTCTTCTTGTTAATGTAATGTTTAATGACGATGATATTTTGCATGCATTTGAAACTAAGAATTCGAAACAGGTCAAAAATTACCCAGTTCTGGAGTTGGTAAAAAAATATACCTCCATTAGCCGAGGACTAAAGATCGAAGATCTCATATCTGCATCCATACATTGCTCAGCGAACTTTATAATTGAGCTACAATCAAAAGTAAATAAATGTTCAGTGAAAAGTTATGTACCACAATTTGTATATTAGTATGCCACCTAGACGATAATTTTAGAATCACCAGAAAACCGAACCATATCAAACTATTGAAGTCACTCATCTGTTCAGTCGGGAAACGCTTAAGTCAAGCTTACCTTGAGAGTATCACAACGGGGTGGTTGTTTGCCTCTACAACATCCACAAAATGAGATTGCAAGGCATCAGGAACCTGGTTGTTGATAACATCATCTCGTCATTACTCTTGGGAAGAATTAATAAGTAAAAAAAAAAAAAACAGAACTATAACAGCCCTCGTGCAACTGCTTATGCTGGTAGGACTTCAATTTACTTAGACTAAGAAAAAGAGTAGTTTCAAGACCCATTAAATTGATATCTGTGATAAAATGTTTCTTATTTGTCCCATAGGAAAGGAGTGTGGCTATTGTTTGATAGATAGCTAATATCAGTAAAACATAAAACATGAATTAAAATCTGAATTGAAACCCAATACTTTATATCATACTCGTGCACATAGTTACGAAATAAAAAACTACCGCAATTCAGGACACATTAATGGAAGGAAAGCTTGTCAGCGTCTTCCTTTTTGTGATTACATAAAAGAGAGGCAGGATAAGTTAATAATTACCAGAGCCGTCTCCCCTTCCCCTTCATCTGCAAGTACATGACCGATTATCAGCAGTAAAGAGTAGACCTCTTCCAAAGTTTCGGTCGGATCAACAGTGCCCCTGCCCTAAAACAGGTAGATTAAGGTGAGCAAAAGCAACCTCTCAGGACACATTAGAAAACTCGTGCACATAATTACGAAATAAAAAAACTACCGCAATGCAGACATAGCTGGATTTTCTAATCAAGAACAAAAATGCTTTGATGCAAGTATATATTGATATGTTAGCTACAAATATGTTTTACTAGATGAAGAAATGTTGCTTTTGCTTATATTCTATAGGAAGGTGGATCAAGAGTACCTGATGGAGGTGTGCAACACGATCAGAGAAAAGTTTTGCTAAAAATGGGATTGTAGCATCGACTGCTGCCCTTGCAATGAGAGCATAAGAGCCTAGTCTTTCATCCATCGCTGCCAGAACATGATATTATAAGTTTGAGCAAAGAATAACACAAAATCTGCCGTCTAAGATTGGCTGCAAATTCTAGATCAAGAGGAACATTGCATTTCTTTTGCTCACCAGATACAGAAGCCAGACAGTCAGCATCATCTTCATTAGCTGTAGCTGACGCAGATGCCACTAGAGGAGTAAATTTTCAACTTGTAAATAGATTTGAAAAAGAAAACAGCTCCAAACCAACAAATGTTGTAAGGCAGTGGTCAACAGTCTGGAAATTTTTACCTTTAAGTTCAGATTCCGCAATCAATGAAAAGAGACTAGCTGCAGCATGCACCCCTTCAGCTGGCAGCCACGCATTACCTCCAGAACCATCCATTGACTGACAGAAGTCATCACAATTTTTAGTCAAACATTGCCCACTAGTATCTCATAGGACGCAATTAACTTTAAAACTGTACCATTCCTCTAGATTCTCAAACACAAGATTGTTGGCAAAGCAGGTATTTATAAATACCCTGACGATCACAGTTACCCAAAAAGAGCCAGATACGGCTACAGAGTTTCATGAACACAGCCATGCATAATGTTATAGGTAGATGTAGCTGTATTAAAAAAACATTTTAACCGTACTCACAGCAAGGAGAGTTGTCCAGGTATCTAGCAAGATATCGCGCGCCTCATAGCTCCAAGTCTCTTTATCAGTGCTATTCGCCATTAATACTTTGACAACCTCACCCATTAACATCGATAAGAGTGTAAGAGTACCAAAGGGCCTGAAGAAACAGGAAAGAACCAACTATTTTACGAAAAGCAAATCATTAAATGGCTTTTAACAGCAAAAAAAGGGTCATGTGTCAAAGACCTTATTGATCGCAAGAGTCGGTCAAAGTCAACAGGAGTAGTAACTGTTCCGATATAATACAATGCGCGACAACCATCAATCATCTCACTGGATTAAAATGTCGACGACAGGATGTTAAAATTGGAATACAAGACATAGAAATCAAGCAGGGTGAGAATGTTGAATAGCTGACCTTCCACTCCTTCCTTCTTCAATCTCCTTTGAAATGACATCAGGAGGATCAATCCAGGGTAACACCCCCGACAGCAAGAGGAGTAGATGCTGCTCTCGCATCTGTGCATTGTCTAGATTATTGAACAAGTCACTCACAGAGAAATATATATCTTGATATGCATGCCATGATGGATAGCCATCGTTCCTAATTTGGCGAGGTAAACTAGATGCTGAGCAAATTTGATGTTTCTATAACGTATTCAACAGAAGAGTATATAAATTAGTAGAAATTAAAGAAGCATAAAATACTCACTAGATGGAAATATTTCCCCTGCCAAGGAGCACAACTGTACAATAAGTTTCCGAGCAGAGACTGCAACAGGACAATCTGGCCAATAGCCTTCAAGAGCAAACTTCTGCCTCAGCGACGAATATAGATTTATCAGCCATCCAACATGTGAACTTGAAAGCAAAACATCACACCACGAAGCACCAGGCTGCAATCAGCACCACTGAAGGTGAGATTTATGAAGAGTCCATGAAGTGTCTTAAAAAGAAACAAGTATAAACTCTGACATGACAATTAACTACCTGCACAATTACACACTCTGTCTTTCGTGATGATGCAGTATCAGCTCTAATTCCATCAGAGAAGACATTAATGCTGGCCATTGTGCCACCTTTGCTGTAACGAAACTCCCAGTTTAGTATTTGATGCATTAGTCGCAGCGCAGCATTGCAAACCTTAACCTCAGGGACATCAGAATGCGATTCAATGATCTTGTTTGTAACACTTAAAGCGGCATCACGTGCCCAGCTATAGAAAGTCTGCAGTTGAAAACATCGGGAACAGCACAATTCTAGTAACAAAACCCTTGGTACATGCTATTATTCTTCCACAGACGACACAATATCTGGAAGCAAAAGAAATCCTAAAAGTACCTTCAGAAAGTTCTGTTCTAGTGACTTGTGGCAATTTTCATGAAATTCCCTTGGGAGACCCATGGCACTTGAAGTAGAGGGTGAGAATTCAGATACCTGAGATGAAGAAACTATGAGTACACATATGATACACATTTAACGCCAGAAAAAGATAGAAACAGATCATTACCAATGATTCAAGTAAATTTATGCCGATGAACTGCACATCTAAGCCTCGAGAACCAAGAATAGCCTGGTTGATCTGTAAACAGCAGTTGTTAAAAGCCAAAAAGCAAACCAATACCATGATCCTTTTTTGTAAAAAAACTTATATCGGACTACTCTGTTGTATTTTCAAGAATAATTAACAGCACTTCCACAATTTTCATTTCAACGTTAAATATAAAGTCACGACTCAAGGTATATGCAGCTAATACTAATCACTGTAAAATACAGAAATTAAAAAGAGAGTCCGAAAAAAGCAATACAGTGTAGATACCTGGTAGAAAAAGACTTCCTTCTCGGCTGGAGTAAACTCAAGCCTATAAGAGTTATTCAATCAGATTAGAAGTTTCTTAAGATGAACTGAGCAAGCAAAAATTAAAACAAGGTAACTTGTCTAGGTTTCTTTGCTCTACTCTATTTTTCCATACGCTATCAGTCATAAGCGTGTGTGACCGACAAAATTAATTTCACAAATCCTCATATATGCATCAAATCTGAAGTGACAGCTAACTTCCAGCGTCTAATCTGCATGCTTTATTATTCTGAATACCAGAAGCAGCCGAGCTTACCAGCCTCTTTTCATCAGCTGCGCAGCCACAGAAGATACTTTTGAAAACACATAACCATCTGATGAATTGGCATGCTGCATGACGTAGCCAATACAGAAGCTGCAGAACGATTTAGCCATATTTCAGAATCTCTTATTTGTATGAACCAAAATCTCAAAAGAAAACCTCTAATTTATCAAATGATGGTCATGATTATCACGGAAAATGAGGCGTGTTCATACCCACCACGAAACATTACAGTCAAGAAGCAGCAGGTTTCACATTCCAAAAAATAAAATGTACCAGTATCCCGAAACTACCATATTGTGAACACAAAAGAAGAGACGTTACCTAATCAAACCCCCTTTATCATCAGTGGCAAGAAAACTCCATTCCCTGATAGCTGCTTCTTTAATAGCTGCAGCAGCTTGAAACCTAGCACTTGCTACCTGAGAATTTTCTGCAAGTATAAAACACTTTGAGTCAAACAGCTGCAACTTCAAGTTCACTTGCGCAGACGGGGTTGCGAATTCAGAAGAGTAAATTACCAAGAATATATCTACACGCCTTATATGGCTGCGGGGACTGGTGAAACGACAATATGGTAGCTTCAGCAGCAGCTGGATTAGTATTTATCTGCTAGGAAGAAAGGGAAATGTCAAGTACTTGTCTCGGTTAAGCTATTGTATGCAACTAATAGCAACTACGTGGAAATATAGGAACCATCATGTTTCAAGAATGATTAAAATCTATGGCAAGCTTTCTATAAGCAGAGAGGCTTGTTAACGGAGATAGTAAGAGAGTTCAGCGATGCATTTTAAGTCTCTACAAACAACAAAAAGATTTCTAAAGAAGAAAACTCAAAAAAGCAACTTCCAGTGATTCCTTCAATTCGAAGCCAAACAAATAACGAGAGAATAGTTCATAAATGCAAGCACACGCACACATGTACAGCTTCCTTGACCCACTTGTTTATGCGTAAGTATAAAGGAAGAAGCAAACCAAAAAAAAAAAACGAGAAACCTGAATGTAAGAGCAAGCAAGTTCAATCGCGCGCATGGTAGATTGAAGCTGAGCCAAATCATCATCTCCAACTCCACCGCCACCGGTTCCGTTAGAAAACCCTAACATCGTCTCCTCGAAACGCCGATTCCGCTAAACGGACAATCGACAAGTCTCCTCGCTTTCCAGGTAAAAAAAAAAAAAACGAATAACAATCTGGTCTAGTCAATTGGAAAAACGATAAGAGTGAGAAGAAAAAAAGGGAAAGAGTGTAAGGGGAAAATTCGATAGAAGAAGGAAAAATGGCGGCGTGGAGCAGAGTGAATAGCGGAGAAAAGGGATCGATGGCGAGAGAGACGGAGAGGTGGAAACGGGTGTTTTTAGAAGGGCGTGTCACACGGTTGGCTAATTCATTCAGACTTGTAAAATGGACATGAAGTTCCATAGTATTTACGGGAATACCCTTCTGAGGTTAAAGACCTGAGTCTAGACCGGACCGGACCGGACCGGACCGGACCGGACCGGACCGGACCGGCTGGTTCCAGTGGTTAAATCGCAGCGCAGATGCCAGTTATTTTATAAAAGTTCATCATGACTAATTACAGAAAATAATAATAATTTAAAGATACAACTATGGTCATATTGTTTGAGAAATTTTCTTCTTTGGTCAAAGATTTTCTGGAAGTTTATATAGAGTTAATTAGTGTTTAATCCCAACATGTTTTGTATACTTATTCAAACCCCAAATTATGAAAGAACTTTTTATGGCAAGAAAATTGAAGAAAAACAAAAAAACCCAAGAACTCTCTAGAGTACTATAAATTAGGCCTAATTAAAGTTGAGTAAAATTGCAGAGCATTTTGTTTTCTTTGATAAACTTTAACAAAAGAAAAATAAAATGGGTTTCACAAAAATGTTAGCGACGTTTCTTTTGGTAGCTATAGTTTCATTACCTAGCCAAAACGTTTTGGGCTCAGGTATACATATATATATTTTAATTCTAGTTAGTTTTTTTTCTCTAAAAATGTTTTTTTTCACTATAGATACATAATGTGTGTGTGTGTAGATGCAGAGATGAAATTAAAATGTTTTAACAAGTGTACGAGTTCATATGGACGGTATGAATGCAGTGTGGACTGTAGGTCATCTCATTACAGAGACGGAGATTGTGTTGGAGGATATTGTTGTTGCCAGCCTGCAGTTTAAATAATTAGAACTCATGAATGATCCTTATTGTTTGCTTTTAGATTATGAGCAAGCATGTCTATTGAAATATATCCTGAAATAAAAAGCTATATAAATAAATATGTTTTCTTAATCCTCAAAACTAGGATCGCGAATTGCCCCGTGTGTGTTTTCTCACAACTCGTAATAAATTACTTGTTTGATCAAACCAAATGTTGTCAAGTTCTTTATATTTGTTTCTTAATCTTTAATCAATCTGATTCGTTCAAACCATAACTGGAGCAGGCCTGACGAGATATGCAAATGTTTTTACCGTAATGTGTTTCAAAATACGATTCGCATAACTGTCATGAGTACAATGCAATATGGTAACTAGTAAAATTATGATTTCAGATTTATATTAATTGCACCATAGATGATGACAAGTTGAGTTATCATCACGGATTCATGGAACAAAATGATCAAGTGATTATATACTAATTTGTTGACCGGATTGTTTCGGAGACTCGGTCATCATCATCTCATTACGGTATCATATGGACAAATAAAAGTTAGAGGGGCCAATCGAATAACAAGGAGAAAAGTCATGCCAGATTCGTAAATTTTATAAATTTCCATTTTTTTTTAAGAGTCGCCCTCAAAGTCTATTGACTTTTGACTTCCAGAGTTTCGTCGACGACATAAAAGAAGAACGTCACTGCAACTTTAGAGAGAGAAAGAAAAGAAAGAGAGAGAGAGAGAGAGATGAAGGTGGTGGCTTTAGTCAGTGGCGGCAAAGATAGCTGCTATGTTATGATGAAGTGTATCGAGTACGGTCACGAGGTAGTTATTCTTCTCTTACTTGTTGTTAGTTTCCCTGAAATTGAAGTTTTTTTTAAAAAAATTTGCTATATGAACTTAAATTCTCAATTGGGGTTGCCCGATTTGTGTTTCCACAGATCGTGGCATTGGCGAATTTGTTACCGGTTGATGATTCCGTCGATGAACTGGACAGCTACATGTATCAAACTGTAAGATTCCGTCTCTTCCTTGTTTCCTATGTAGGTTCATGTTAGTGAGGTAGATCCAAAATCTTCATGTGAACAATGGCTTGACAAAAGCTTAGATTTTTCTATCCCATATTGGTGTTTATGTGAATCTTGTCAATGTATCATAATTCGTAAATAGACTTAAACACTAGATATAAGCAATAGGGCTTATGTAATTGGAATATGAATTTCTGTTTTCTTTTTCTTCTTTCTAAATATCTAATTCTTAAATTGAATGTCCCTTCTTCAGGTAGGCCACCAGATTATTGTGAGCTATGCAGAATGCATGAATGTGCCATTGTTCAGAAGGAGAATCCGAGGCTCTTCGAGGTGACAATCGTTAAGAGACTCTAGTCCATTCTTTTAGTTGGAGATTTTGTCGTAGTGAGGATTTATATTTTGCAGGCATCAGAAACTTAGCTACCAAATGACTCCAGATGATGAAGTGGAAGATATGTTTGTGTTGTTGAGTGAAGTGAAGAGACAGATACCTTCCATCACTGCTGTATCGTCTGGTGCGATTGCATCAGACTACCAGCGTCTGCGGGTGGAAAGTATTTGTTCAAGGTTAGGTCTTGTGTCTTTGGCATTTTTGTGGAAACAAGATCAGACATTGCTTCTTCAGGAAATGGTAAACTGTTTCAGGGAACGGGAAACACCCAAGATTCGAGCCTAATTTTCAATCTCAAATCTTTTTCTCTTTTGAATTTGTCTTCTTTAATCCGCTTCTCGTTTACTTGCAGATAGCAAACGGGATCAAAGCTATTTTAGTCAAGGTAATAAGGATTCTTGTTATAATTTTCCGCTTCTATTAACATCGACATCTTCCTATAATTATGGTTTTCTTCAGGTTGCGGCAATAGGGCTGGATCCTTCAAAGCATTTAGGGAAAGACTTAGCCTTCATGGAACCATATCTTTTGCAGTTAAAAGAGTATGCCACAGTTCTCTTTTCAAGGCTTCATTGAGAGTGTCATCTAGTTGTCTTGCATTGATTTTGTGGCTTCTGAATGTACCTTTACTCAGGTTATATGGAAGTAATGTTTGCGGTGAAGGAGGAGAATATGAGACTCTGACTCTCGATTGCCCGCTTTTCACTGTACGTCTTCGTAACAATCTTCACAATAATTCTGAGTTCATTGATTCATCACAATGATTTTTAGTTTGACAATTTCCGTTTTCTTAGAATGCGAGAATCGTGCTTGATGATTTTCAAGTTGTGCTACACTCTCCAGATTCCATTGCTCCTGTTGGAGTTCTTCATCCATCAACATTCCATCTCGAAAAGAAGGGGAATTTAGACTCTAATTCCGTTGAGGAGCCAGGTTTAGTGTTTGAGGTACAAGGAGATGGTCCTAACACATCAGAATCTACTCGCCAGCGAGATAATGGAATCGTTGAACATACAAGAAACAGAGTCAAATTATCAAAGACCGAGAAAGAAAACACATTCTCCATTTGCTGCTGGTTGGAAGATTCTGGTGTATCTTCTACAGGTAACTCCAAAAACAGACCAAATGTTCAAGATGTTTTCGCACGTGTACTTGATCTTTGCTTTTATACTCTTTGAACAGGTCTGAAAGAAGATCTCGAAACTGTTCTTACAGAAATTGAATCGCAGCTATTGAAACATGGATTTAACTGGCAGAATGTCTTGTATATTCATCTTTATATCTCTGATATGAGCGAATTTGCCGTGGCGAACGAGACATATGTGAATTTTATCACACAAGAGAAGTGTCCTTTTGGTGTTCCTTCACGTAGTACAATACAACTTCCTTTGGTACAAGCGGGTCTGGGAAAAGCTTACCTTGAGGTTTTAGTCGCGAATGACCAAAGCAAAAGGGTTCTCCACGTACAAAGTATTTCTTCATGGGCACCTAGCTGCATCGGACCTTACAGTCAGGTGAAAAAGTTTCCTCCTCGACTTTGTGAATAATGTTCAAGTTTTTTTTATCAGCAAACTCAATTACTTCAATATTTTAACTACAGGCCACTTTGCACAAGAGTGTTCTTCACATGGCTGGACAATTAGGGCTTGACCCTCCCACGATGAATCTTCGAACCGAAGGCGCAATTGCTGAGCTGAATCAAGCATTGACGAACAGTGAGGCAATAGCAGAGTCTTTTAGGTGCTCAATCTCTTCATCAGCTATTCTTTTTGTGGTATTCTGCTCAGCACGCACAAATCAATCAGAGAGGAACCAACTCCATGAAAAGTTTGTTACTTTCTTGGATTTGGCAAAGTCTTCTCGGAGGGTATCAAATGTCCTCGATCCTATTTTCCTTTACATCCTTGTCCCCGATCTTCCCAAAAGGTATTAAACACGGCAGAGAATCTTATACTACTGGTGTTTGGATTTCGTTTTTTTTTTTCTAACTGTTGATCTACAGGGCTCTTGTTGAAGTAAAACCTGTCTTATACGTCAAAGACGATACAGAGACTGAACATGAAACCATACAAGATCAATCGGGCGAAGAAGATTACAGTAACTGGGGATATAAGCCAGAGAAATGGCACCAAGATTGCGTGCAGAAACGAGTTGTTGATGGGAAAATATGTGTGGCTGTTCTCCCCATCTCAGCCGAAATAATGAGGAAAATTCAAAAAGCTTCTGGAGAAGAACAACAACTGGAGAGAGTACCGAGATTCTGCGTATATCTTCTCAACAAAACCTTGTCTGAAAATTCGTTCTCTTGGCAAGACACGACGGTGAGAATGAGATTCTTGAACACAGTGTTAGTCTCTCTCATCAAAAGCTTAGCTTATTATATCTTCTTTTTGTTGATGCAGAGCTTAAGAATACACTTCTCTACAAGTCTTGGTGTGTCCGTAGAGAGATTATCCGACCTTTTTGAAATTGCATTCAAAGAGCTTAGCGAGATGAGTCATGGAGTTAGAGTCGACGGCTCGAAAGAACCTATGTTCAATCTCGTCCCGGTCCTTGGTGCTGGAAACTCTTCTGCTTCACTCGACAACCTAATCACGTGTGAGCTATTTGCCCTAAGGTTGTAACTTTCCTCGTCTGACAAGGAACATAAAGTTTTGAGATAACAATACTCTTCATATATTTTAAGAATTTCGAATATTTGTATTTATCTTATTATTGGATTTTAGTGAATTTCTATGGATTTACATATTAAAACTAAAAAAAAAACCTGAAGAAAACATACAAAATTTAAAATAAAATAAGGGTGTACCTTACAAATTACATCACCGGATGTGGAAACCTCATAATTTTCATTGAAATTTTAATACAAATATCCTGACCAAGTTATATGACAATGAGACAGCTCCAACTTTTTTTATATGAAACAGCTTATAGCTTGTGAAAGGTGTTTTGCTACTTGTGCGTTGGAATTTGGGTTTTCATTTTAGTTCGGATTCCTGTAATCTTGCTATTAGGATTCGGTTTGATTGGAGAACAAAAAGCAAGAAGTTTTTGTGGAGCTCAATGAGTTCTGGAAAATATGGAAGATTTCTCAAAGTGTAGCAGTTATTTTTTGTGATCATGTTGACATAAGATTTTGATGCTTGTAGTTCTTAAAAAGCTGTTATACTTTTCGATGCTCACTTCCTATTTCTTTTCTGCTGTTTGGTTTTGATAAATGTTTTGTATTCTTGTTTGCAGGAGATTTGATACAATAGATCCTGCTGAGAATGCAATAAGAGTAGCAGAGGCTAAAATGAATGCAAATGACTTTGTTGAAGCTCATAAATATGTTCAAACCAGAAAAATTCGTAAATAAAAAGAGAAAGAGAGATCTTAATAATAGCATCAGTACGAACCTAGCCGTTAGATCATCTCAATCGCAAGAAAAATTATTGTTTACCGTTCGATTTTCTCTCATTTCATTGCTCTTTAAAATTTTGACCGTGTTACGTACAGATATAATCTTTTTAATATGATTATATATAATTTTAATGTAATATATTTATATTCTGTGAATAGAACATTGGATATAACTTTTTAATATAATTATAGAAAACTTTGATGTAATATATATATATATATATATATATATATTTATAGCATGTGAATAGAACACCATGTTAATAAAATTTTAAGTGTTATTTATAGCACAAAGCTAAATTTTTAAGAGTCAAAGAAAAAAGAACCTCTAACATATGCGAGAAAATATATTGTAGATAAATATATATAAGATATAATTTTTTCGGATTACCATTTTTATCAATATACATATAATCTTTTTTAGATTACCATACATCTCATTATTCAATGTTGATGATGATGATGAATTTATAATTTGTTGCCTATATTGTTATATCATGATCGATTGAAAATTTGTAGTACTTGAAAACAAATGGCAGGGTATATATATGTATAATGGTGTATCTAAACTATCATAGCAGAAAATAGTTAATGTATTAGAAAGCTATATTTTATAACCGGTAAGCCAAATTCTCTAGGCCTGCTCATGGTATATATGTTTAAGCACATGTTGCAACACAAGAAATAAGAATTGTATAGAAAACTGAAGGAAAGATTTACATCTTAGAATAAATTTGTTTCTCGCCTTGCAGTCATTTCCATAATCAAGTTATGATAACTCTAAGTGTGTGCTTAGCCACACATTACATTCTTTTAACACTTGAAATCAAAATGTTCATATCTGCAGCTTCTGGATTATAGCCTTACATGAGAAATGTCCATAGTTTCACCATGATAATTTAATTTCCCACAATAAGTTTTTACTTGAAGCCAAGAATTTTATGACGGTGAGAGATGTTGTTCATTGTCTCGGGTGTATGCTTATCATCGTTTACAAAAGCCACTTCTGCTAGTGACTCAAGTACCCGTCCGAATCAAGAAGCGGAAGAATGATGCTATGGTGACTTATATATGAAGGTTTTTAAAAAGGAGGCTTTATTAAACTTGTGGTGGGTTTGACATTGATCAAGCCATGAGGGGATATGAAGAACATCAAAAAGATCATGGTCAATGCTTAACAGTTCAGATGGAAGGAATCCAGAATCAAAATGAATATGCTGGAAAGTCTGTATGGAACAATTATGTTGCAAATGGGTCGCATTCAGATTTCAAATGCTCTCTCAGTAGCTAGAGATATGGAAGCTGATAATGAATAATCAGTATATTTTTCATCCGCATTGTGCAATATACAATTCCCTTTTAAAATTGAAACTAAGACAGGAAATGAATAACATCTGTCTGCTTTCTTCCTCTTCATCAAATTCAGCTTTGGGTACGATTAACATAGCTTTCTTGATGTACTCTACAAGAAAGCTTATCCATTTATAATAAGTATATATAGATAAGAACCAATTGGAGAATTAGGAGTCTCACTTGGCAGTCTTTTAGCAATTCCGGCTCAGACTCTGTTTGCACCATCTTGCCAGTGAGAATGGTGACACAACTCATCATTGCTTGGCTTAAAACCATTAAAAACAGATTGTTCCTAAGTGTCGTGAAACAGCCTCCTAATCTGATCCACGCTGGCCGGAATCAATGTCACCGGACACCGCTTGTACTGTTCACAACAGGAGAACAATATAAGCTTATTATATCAAGAGGGAGTGGTTATTGGGAATAGGGAGAAAACGATTTGGAGAATCTAACCTTTGAAACATACTTAAAGACACAAGAATAGCAGAAAACAAATCCAGAGGCTGTGACAACTGATGGGTTTGCACGTTTTTGCAAGCATAACGCGCAGAGGGAACTGTCGGGAGGTAGAGGGATTCCTTCTTTGGCCACCTGATAGAGAAAAACCAAAAAAGACTGAGCGAAACATGTCTACATTAGTTTCAGATATCGCTACCAATTGATTGATTTACCTTTGGGGCTGGAGGAGGTGGAGGTGGAGGGTACACCGTCGGAGCCGTCAATCTCTCCTCAGCTGATTGATACCACCATTCCATCATCTACAAAACCAAAACAAATATATGTATGCGGTGAAAAAATCTAGTAAGAGACAATGAAGAAAAGCATAGCAATTAGCTTTATGGCTTTAGCTGTAGCATACAAAATCCAATCTAACGTAATTTAAGCTCAAGGCCTTCATTTCCTGAAGAAATCTCCTTCAGAATATGTTGCGAGCTTTCAAGATGGTAAAATAAGTGAAGAATCGTAAATGGGAAATTTATGGATACTTACTTTAAAGATAAAAACTGCTGCAATTAAACCGGTTTGGGCGTAGTCAAGCACCGCATATGAACAGCTAAGAAGTGCCCCTTGCATTTTCTAATCAAATATTTAAAAATGAGTATTGTCAGACGTTGGATCATTATGCAGTAGTAGGAATCAGCTTGTCTCATTCCTTAGGTTACAGGAATTTCAAGAAAAGTGAAATCATACTTTTAACCATGGAGGACCACGAAGTCTCTCGCGCTCATGGTTCCGTATCTTCGAAATTCTTGATGACGTATCCATCTATCTTGGCATCAAAAGAGGAAAAGAACGAGACCAAAAGTTTGTTAACTCATGCAAAATTTACCACTTCAAAGGTTTTCAAGAAGATGTCTATGAAAGTGAAAAAAAGGTGAACTTCTAAGTATATCGTCAAACAAAGTCAAGCTTCTATGTTCTACGAGGCCTATAGTACAACATCCTAGAACATTGCACTTCCGGTGAGAAAGTTGTGATCTAACTTCATATTTTGATGTTGTACCCTTATACTTTTCATATAATCTTGACTTCATGACCTTATAATAGGCTTCAAAAGTTCAAGATTCATCATCAGTGGAAACAAGGAGAAATTTTGGAACACCTTTGAGCAGGGACAACCCAAACATATAGAAGTGGTGACAGGAAATCTCAGCCAGCAAGGAGGAAGTACATACCAGTTCTTGACCTGTAGCTCGACAAACTTGAATACCGAGAGCTTGAAGCCCAAGTGAATAAAATCCAGTAGCGTCCAGCAGATATAAGAGCTGGTAAGTGAATGATAATCCTGCACCGCAGAGCACATCAATCCAGATTAACTAACTACAACAGATGCCCGAGATCTCATATCAAATTCATGAAAATGCACTAATAGCCTGGATTGTGAATTCATTATAGAAAAACCAGATTACATCACCATTCAAAGGTTACTTCAAAAAGTGAAAACTCTAGGCACGAACTTGAACAGGGTAAACTTAGAACTGCTCCTAATTATTATAAAGAATGATCAGCTACGACTCTACACAAATTCACAATTACCTTCACTGGATGCATGTATCCAAGGATAGCAGACAGCTATAAGCTTTTTGATTTTCGTAGCTAATTGTACTCGAACAGAAAGCTCTTGACTCCCACTGGTCTCTCTTGAAACAATTGGTTCCTCCCCTGTGAAGAAGTCAGCTTCATCAAATCCTTGATCCTCTGTTCCCCATAAACTTTCCCGGAGCCTGGCTTCCCTTTCCTTGTTATAGATTGCATGCAGCTTTGACTTGAAATACGGTAACACTACCTACAAAAAGGCAATTATTAGAAAGTTGTACCAAGCTTAAAGGCGCAAGCTTTACGCTTTTTAACAGATACCCAGTTACAAAGTATTTGCATTTAGGATAGAGTTAGTACCAGGAACACAACAGAAAGGATTCTCTGGCGTTTCTCCAAACCGGAATGTTGAACTTCTTCGCTGGAATCTTTCCTCAGTCTTAATCTCACTGATTTCCTCCTCAAGCCATACAATGATTCAGCAAACGAAGCATCTGAAACAATTCACAAAAAAAAAAAACTCAAAATTTATAATCAGGAATTCTCCAATTCACAGTCACACCTCTCCAATCCAATTAAAAAGAACGTTTACGAGAATCAACCTGTAGTTCTTACGCTATGCCCTTCAAGAATAAGCATCAGAGCAGCAAAGAATTCATCCTCGTAGTCTAAGATTTTATGGAGAAACGATCGTCTCAAGGCAAAAACCTACAAATCACGAACAGGAAAAAAAAAAAAAAACATAAGAATCACACCGAAATGTACCGAATTTCAGAAATCCTATAGGAGTATGGGACTTTAAGGATTGAAATTTACGCCGAGGGAATATGTGAGAGCGGCGCGAAGGCTAGCCGGAAGTTGCTGAGCCGCAGCCATCTCAAAGAAGGTAGGGCGTGTGCCTTCACCTCCCACCTGAAACAGCATCTTCTTCTCTCTCTTCCTCTTCTTCTTCTTCTATTCAGTGATAGTTGATAAGGCGAGAGCTTTGTCTTTTTTTTAAACTGGGATTGAGACCTTTAGCGTCTCCAGAATTGCAGAAATTGGGAAAGAAGATAGACGAAGGAGAAAAAGACGCATTTCGAGAGAGAATATTACGTCATAAAAACAAGTTATTTCATAGCTGACTCATCTTCCGACAATATTCCAACTCGACAATGATTTATCCACGTCATCTCATAACACGTCACCTTTAATTAGGGCTTTCAAAAACTGATAATTTAGGTTCTTTGTGTGTCAAGTTTCTTAATTAACGGTGACCAAAGCAAAATCACATTTTAAAATTTCGATAAAAATAGCGAAACCTTACTTTGCTGATCATGCCGCCGAATCTGAAACGTGTCGTTGCGCAGGTAAATGGATCAATTCGATTATGATTGATTATCTTCCTCTCTGCGACATGATTGCCCAAAAGTTTACAGAAATAGAGATCGATCCGCAATTTGTCTTCATCGACTGGTAATGATGTCAATCTGTATGAGATTATCGGTTTCGATGTGTTTTGTATTTGGAGGGAAAGCAAAAACCTTTGATTTGCAATTTTAGATTTCAGTGGATTGGTGAGCTGGATGACTCCTCGACGCGGTGTATTTATCATGGGATATCTCATTGGTACGGAGAGACAGAGACAGAGAGAGAGAGTTTATTTGTTCCCTAGCTACAGGAAATTTGATTAATTTTAATTTTGTTTTTGGGTATTAAGCTTACATGAAGGTGCATGATCCTGGAACCACGCTTCCTAAACAGGCTGAGAAAATGAAAGAGGTAAAAACAAAATCAAAGAAGCACACACTGCTATTATTTCATTTTCATCATCTTTGTTGTGTGTTTCAGCTTGAGGAAAGGGTCGCCAAGCTGAAGAAAGCAAGAGAAGCTAAAGAAATGAAGAAGAAGATACCTAGATGATGTGGTGTCTGCTCCAGCTTTCTAATTTGTATACAATCATTGTGGAATGTGGACTAGGCAGTTATAAATTATGGATTTGCTTTTGCTTTTTTGCTCGAATGTATGGACCTGTGTTGTTGATTTGCAACTGCTGTGGCACACTCTGCTTATGACAAGGAGAATATGCGCATGGTTGACCAAAGCAAAATCACATTTAAAAATTCGATTAATTGGGAGAAAACAATCAGTTTTCATTTTTCATTTTTCATTTTTCATGCTGCTGTGAGTTTCATATAAAGCAACATAAGCAAGAACCAAGAACTCGTTTCATATACACAATTTTACATCTGTTGCATATCTGGACTTCCAACAAAACTTAACTTGCTTCACAAGAAACATTTCTATACAAAAAAATACCCCAAACTTAGGTTAGCATCATAATTTCCAACTTCTTCAGGTCACACGAGATGTCTAATCTTCTCTAATGCGTTTCCTAGTAGTCCCAGAAGCAGATCCACTTTGATCCATTGTGCTAAAACCACTCTGCAATTTCTGATTTATTGATAGTTCTGAATTGGTTGCTTTAGGGAAAACTTGTGAAAGTTCTGGTGATGAAGCTGAATGGTCAGCTTTTGGCATTGATGTTGAGCAAGAGGAGCCTTTTTTCTTGTCTTGCAACTTCTGTTGTTTCTCAATCATTACCTGAAGACACCGACCTTGTTCTTCAATTTGTAGTTGTAATGATCTTTGGATCTGCATTGTATTAGACCAAGATCATATCAGATAAACAAACCAGATAACCAAAAACTAGGAATCAGAAAAGAAGAAGAGCAAAAGGCATTGTTTTGTTTCATGTAAGATTCTTTTACGCGGTTGGAATTATACCTCAAGTTGCTCGTGGAGCTGTTTCTGAACTACCATCTGTAAACGTAGAGCTTCAGTGATTTCAATGCTCCTGAAGAAGAATAAGAAGAAGAGAAAAATCGTAAATATGAAGAGGTACATTTTCCCCGGTCCTACATAGTTTGTCTGACAGAAGATCTGAATTTTTGCTTACGTCTTCAAGTCAAGAGATTTGATGTCTTCAATGGTTTTCAAATTCTTCTCTGGATGTTTTTCTGTTCAAGAAGGAAAACAAATTTAGCGTAAACTTAGATGCTTCGCGGTTTATAGTTGCAGAAAATGCAGAACTAAATCTTAGGAAAACATATAGTATAAAAGAGTACCTGTACCTTCTGAAATCTCCGGTTTATACCTTGCCGTTCTGTATTTCTGGAGAAGTCAACAAAATAAAGAGGGTTCAGATGAGAAATGAGCTAAGCCAAAGCATACAAACAGAAAACAGAAACAATAATGACCTGCAAATGGCTTTTGACATGATAAATGGTCAAACCAGGGCTATTGATGAGCTTCAAAACAGCCTTAGGTGTGGCTCCTATGGTTTACAATTATAAGCCAAGAGAATAATAAGTTGCTTGAACTGAAATTTGCAAGCATGATGAGAAGAGATAAGGGCTTACGCACGTTCACTACCACCAAGTTGATTGATAGCTTCGACAAATGCTTCATGAAGCTCTGGTGTCCAACGCATTCGTTGCTTCGATGTCACTGAACTAGCAGGTGAGCTTTTGGCACTAAACTGCTCCATTGACGGATCAACCTGATGCTGATTATTGACTACTATCTCTTGCTTCGCTATATTAGAAGACAGTATTGGTATCTGTAACACATAATAAGAATCTTGAAGCCACTAATTGGATAGAAAAAAGAAGAAGCAGACATTCATATTTGGCTGCGACAACGAACCTTTGAATCTTGATTGAAGACATTAGGGTCACCTAGAAGCTCCGACCAATTTGGTTCATCAACAGTGATCAGCTGATTTGTCCAGTCTGGCCATTCCTCGGAAGAGACCATAGCTCTGCTGCTCTCTGCCTGTGGAACCGGAACAGGGAAATCAAAGAAACGCTGCATCTGCTCTTCAGACCAGCAGCTCATATCTTTCTGCTCTTGAGGTTGATTGACCAATGGCAAGGATTGTGTTTCCACGGAGCATTCCTGTCTCTGCCCTTCTCCTGAAGGAACATAAGAACGTGTCTGGGAGGCATGCCTTTCAACATACACACCATTGCAGAATCCAGAAGAAGTACCACCAGAGACCAGAGGAATCACTTGACAAGGTACCGGATTATTCATCAGTTCTTGTCCTGATGAAACCCACAAAGTATTAGGAAACTTATGATGGTATCTCTCATCTAGAGTTGTAGAGAGAAGAGGAGAACAAGAAGACATAGCGGCTGGAAAGCCGAAATCACTAGAGAGTGTCATAGAACAAGATATGATTAGCTTAGCAAGGAAATGACTCTAACGATGAGTAAGTTATATACAGACAATGACTCTAAAGGACATGAACAACTGTTGGAGAAATTCTCTTGCCATAATTGATATCCAATCTTTTTTTTCCTTTCAAAACACCAACCCCAAGGAATATTCTTCACTTTTTGTTTTGCCTTGGATCATAAAAAAAAACTCTTAGCTTTTCATTTACTTTTTCTGCAAATTTTTTTTCCCATAAACTTCAACAAATACTGCAAGAGGAAGAAATGATTCTATTCCTATCCAAAATCAAACTTGTTTCAGCCATGAACCAAGAGAAGCTATACATGATGGATATGACAGATGATGCATCAAAATCAAAATAGAAAGGGACCACAAATAAGATATGGAATCAAATGCAACTGGGAATGAAATTCACACGCATTTTTGGCAAATAATAAAAAAAGAGCAAATATGGCTTTTGATAAACCACAGGGGCGTGCAAGGAAGAGAGTCATTATGAGCACATTATCATTCTAATCGACTCCTATCAAATTGGAACATCAACACCTCAAGAAAGGAGAATCTTACAGAGAACCAAATCTAAGATAAATTCGGTAACAAAATGACTTGACCATTACAATAAAACGATTCTTTGATCATAACAAGTCAACATCTGATGATTGAGCTTTCTAATCCCTCCATGTAAAAAAGACCTTTTTTTTCAAAAAATCAGAACAGAATTTATAGAGAACCAATTCCACATCAACACGAGACAATAATTGGACAACTAATGAGTGTTTATTGCTTCCACAATCATTAGGAGAAGAGAAAAGAATCCAGTAATGAGCTAAATACATAACTCACCGAAACACAAACTGATTGTCGACTCTTTAGAATTCCAAGCTTAAACTGAACACGAGGGAACAAAATGCCGACAGTAAGTAAATGGATTGTGGAATCTCGCCACACAGAAAGCAAAAAACAAGAAGAAAGTAAAAGACAGAGAATCTTACTCGACACAGCACTAAGCAGCAACAGAGAACCCAATACCGAATCAAAAACCAAAAGGGCTTTAATTGAATGATTGAACCAAACGAAAAAGATTGTCTTTTTTTTAGCACTCCAAAAAAAAAAAACTATCTTCGACTGCTAAAAGCTAAAAGCCTCACGTCCATGGGAAAACGAAATTTGGGAATTACTATTTGTCTTCTCTTTCTGGGGTCTGTGTATATTAAATCCGTAGCTCTTTGGTTTGTTACTGCCCGTTGGATAAACATTCGCTTAGCTTATGAAAGGTTTTTTAAAAATTCAACGGAGGAGATTCATGTAGAGCACGGTAGATGAATGTTCTCTGCCGTAGAGGAATTTGGCGGGCGTGTAATAAAATGTAGCTGGTGGGGTCCGTCTGATGCTTGTTTCTGTTTTGATTGGTCGAATGTGACTTCGGTGCTTACTACGTCCAATTAATAATTTAACACATTTTTTAAGTGTTTGACCTAATTCACTAGTTTTCAATTTTTTATAGTTTCATCGGTGTCATTATAAATTCAGGGTTGATATAAAAATCTAGTTTACATCGTTGAAACTGGGTATAGCTATTATCATAGAAGCAGTCAACACATGCGGATTAAAAGGACAGATCTCATACTAGCAGGATAAAAGTAAAATAAAGTAAACAATATGCAGAAAAAACTAAAGCGAAGAAATGGCACGTTTTTATAGTAACTAGAATCAAGTTCAAGGCACAACAGAAGTCTAAAACAAAGACAAAACATCCTCAACAGAGGGGTGCAAAACGTTCAACACAGATAAAGATCTCAAGGTTTTGCTTAAACGATGGCGTTGGCAGCACTAGCGATTCTTGGCCACAGGTCGGCACACTCCTTTCCGATTGGTCCGGTGATGGCAGATCCTAAATATATTAGACAAAAACAGATATCAGCTACAACGGAAACAATATGGTTTGATTGGTTTCAAATCAAATAATACAATTATGCAGAAGCATTGATTTTCTTACCTTTCATTTCACCCTTGGGATTGACAATGACACCAGCATTATCTGCAAAAATCACAAAGTTCCAATTAGGACTCAACACTTGATAGTTCCGACAATTAAGACGAAAACACAAGAGGTAATAAGAAGCGATGCTTACCCTCAAAATACATGAAGACACCGTCCTTTCGGCGCCATGGCTTCCTCTGCCTGACGATGACAGCTGGCAGAACCTTCTTACGGAGATCAGGCTTTCCCTTCTTGACCGTAGCCATAACCATATCACCAACACAGGCTGATGGCAAACGGTTCAGACGACCCTTGATTCCTTTCACCGAAATGATGTACAGATTCTTGGCTCCAGTGTTGTCAGCACAGTTCACCGTGGCTGCCACTGGGAGACCCAGCGACATCCTGAACTTGTTACCAGAGGTTCCTCCTCGTCCTACAAGCAATCAACAGGGGAAGAGAATTACACACGAGTAAGAACATAATCAACCCTCAAGTAGCAGATACATGTACGATAAACGATCACTGAATCTTAGCTCATTAAACGTACATAATTCATCAAACGTATCTATAACTGAAGAGGCTAGTGAAACTGGAGAATAAGGATCATTTTGTAAGAAATGAAAAAGGCAACAAGTATATACGCATACTGAACCCATGAATCAACGCAAGAGTTCGCGATCTAGAACATAAGAAACAAAACCAAGGATCCTAGCAACTAATCACAATCCGGGTAATACAGATTAATGGAAAACGGATATTCAGCTCCATACACGACAATCATCTATCTACTGAAACTCACAAGTGTGGAGAATTGAAGGTGATGAGGGATTTTCTAGGGAAAAGGAAGACTAAGTAAGCAAGCGGCGACAGAAAAGAGATCTACCATAAGCGATGAACGAGTACTCGAGCTTAAAGTATATCAGGAAAAGAAAACAGATTGTAGATGAAACAGACGAGCTGGGAAAGGGATTCTTACCTCGCTTCGACATGGTTGCAAAGTAGCAGCTCTCCTTAGGAAGAGTTCCAATGTCAGTGACGAGAGAGTTTATATATGGTTATGCTAGGGTTTTCTTGAACGCTGGCCTGATTTTGATATTGTGGGCCGATAAAACTTACCATTGGGCCCAATAATGCACCACAACAAATGATGCAATTATAACGTTAAATCTCGAATCAAATCGTAAGTTCCCAAGTTAAGTGTAACAGTTCATCAGTTTTTTCTTCTAAACGTAATGTATGATTTCAGATTAAACATCATAAAATATATTACATCTTGGAATTTTCAAGTATATATATTTTTTTCACTCCGAAATATTGATTACAAATGTATTTTCTTCTCAGCAAATTGTAGCTGAATTAACTAACCAAACATGGAAATTAAAAAATGGGGTATTTTCGTTACCGGACTTTTTCCTTTTGAGATGCAAATACAAACCACTACCATTACCATCTTTGTTTGAAGGCCTAACGATGAATTTATGTCATTTGCAATGAAATCTCTAAAATAAAACAACTAGTGGTGACTTGTTTTGGTTAGCCAACAAAAACTCTTTTTTGGTACACAAAATCTTCGTCAATTTACCAGTAAAATCTGGTAAGTTGAGATAATTTGAGCTAAAGAAGGGGATTCTAAAAGTTATCTCTTGGAATTAAGCAGCTCAGGATGGATCAAATTGTATGTGCGTTATGTTTTCTTAATGTTTTACTCTAATGATCAGTCTCATCTGCGCTTTAATGCCACCGCTTTGGGACCTGCATTACAAGATTTCACGATTGTTAGTAAACACTCAACGACTGAATCATTCACTTCAAAGAAAACCACAATGGATCAAAAGCTTTAGGCACTACAAGATTTCGCGATTGTTTATATTAAGCAGTGTTACAGATCAAAGATTTCATAAGAAACTATTTGATAAGGGACAATTGATGCTACTAATCTGAAAATTATATTATCCTTGACATTTTTTCTCACCTGCTTGTTTTTTAGCAGGAACAACCTTTCTTCTTTCTCCAGACTTGCCTTGAGATCCTGACATATCACCAGAATGCAATACTTAGCAAGAAAATCAGTTTTACCTTAAGCTCTTTTCTATTTGGCATAGTGTCTATGAATCAATGTACTTTCCCAAATGGTACATATTGGTTCGGCTCTCATACTAAACAAAACAAGTTCTGACTTAGAATGCGTGAGCAAACTAAGGAATCAAGCCAGCAGTCTGACACTCAGGTTTTGAACAAATGTGTAAAGATAACTGACCTATTGGCTTCTTGTCTCTGCACAATTCGCTTCCGCAGCAACATCTAAATGCCTTCACGGGATGATTTTCATCATTGAAGTCTATCATGTAATCCTGCGATTTAAACACACAGGTCATTTGAAGGGAGTATGTGTACAAATGGTTTAGAACATTATGGGAATCGTAGAAAGACATGTTTGGTCCATCTCAATTCATGGAATCATCTACAAACACAGCAGAAATCTAGAGTAGCAAAATCAACAGTTGAGAGTGAAATTTTTTATCTAGCCAGGTAGCTTAACCATGGTGCTTACCCATGTCAATTCATCCATGGCCTTCACGTCTCGTATGGTGAAAAAGGCAATCTGCACATTACCAAACCCAGAATTTCCTTTAACTCGCTAAAAAATTACTTTCACAATCAGCGCCTTCAGGAAGTTAAGATTAGATTATAGAAATCATATACTTACATGATAATAATGTCTGTCAGGAGTCTCTATCTCTACCGGAATATCGATCAAGTTTGCATCCTCACATCTGCATCAGCAACAAAGTTCTCAAGTTCGAAAACTCTCAAGGGTAGCACGAAAAAACCATAGCACAAGGAGAGTTGATTGATACCTGTGATTGACAAATCTTGCGACATTACCACAGATTGTGGCATCCAGGCAGAGAGCTTCTTCATCTTTTAGATCCTTTTCAGAACCCCAGTCCGCATCTAGAGTTACAGGGTATGTATGCCGCTCACTACTGGATCTCATATTCCGCTCATATAACTCCGTGTTGGTCAATATTTCACCAATATATTCAAAGACAAAGGTTCCTTTTGGCAAGTCTTGCAGTGTTCTAATACCCCATCCTTTCTTTTCTTGGGTAAAGTAAACCTGGAGCATATAGTTTGCTTGTCAAGCAAATGAAAACAAGTAAAAAGAAAAACCAGGTAACTAGTTCATATCATATGAGGAAGCTATACAGGACACTAATAAAAAAAAAAGTATGGTGTGCATTTAGGAACCAAAGTAGTATCTCCCAGAAATGTTACCTGCAGTTGGCACTTTATTCCTCTCTGTACTACTCGATTTCCACACAGCATATCACATCCACACTTTCTCCAGCATTCCTTAATGAACTTCCTGATCAAGTGTCCATCACATTTTCCATGCGTGCCGCTATCGTTATCTCTCTCTAAAGGGCAGTCTTGGCAGTAAAATTTATGGAACGTCTCTGGTGCCTTTTTCATCTTAAGGCAAGTGTCCAGAAACTTCTCCTTTAGCAACCCTTCATTGGTATAAGCAAATTCTCCACCGGTTTCACGAGCACAGGCACATGGAAAGTCGGCTGAAAGACAGTCCCCCTTGCAGTTCGCGCAACAGTCTTCATCGGAAATCCGAGCCAGAGACACATGCAGATACGCGCTTTGGTACACAATGTTGTGAGGGATGTAAGTGAACTTCGGCACTTCCTCAGTCCCGACATCATCAACCAGAGATATCTCAACGCTCTCTGAACCTTTAGTAATGTCAGAGACGCTGTTATTATATTTCCTCTTGCGCCCGCCATTGCTAGGCTGTGCCTGCTTCTGGACTACCCGAACAGGCGAGCCTGAGGTTCCAGAACGGGTTTCATATTTTTTTTTCAGAGTAGCAGGAGATTCAGTGACTGCAACATTCTTCCCTCTGCTGCCATTAGATGAACCTTCACGTTGCTTCTCGTTTGTTCTCAGAGTAGCAGAAGATTCAGTGGCTGCAACATTCTTCCCTCTGCTGCCATTAGATGAACTCTCACTTCGCTTCTCGTTTGTTTTGAGAGTAGAAGGAGTAGTAGTGAGTGCAACATGCTTCCCTCTGCTGCCATTAGATGAACCTTCGCTTCGCTTCTCGTTTGTTTTGAGAGTAGAAGGAGTGTCGGGAGAGTCAATGACTACAACATGCTTCCCTGTGCTGCCATTAGATGAACCTTCACTTTGCTGCTTCCCTTCTTCAGCAGAGTAAATAGCGTCGATCAATGCACTGTAGTTATCCAATTTGATGATTTCCCAATCGCCAGACTTTTTCAGTAGCTTCCGAAGCACCGGCATAGTCTTTTCATCGGGAATATTCAGTTCCCTTGTCTTCTCGCAAGCTTCGCGTACATTCTTGTCGATGAGCATCCCTCCTTGCATATCGACGATACCTGCGAATTCTGCACATTATGGACAAGAAAAAAAGAAGCAATTCATTAGTCTCTAGAGATGTGAAATTCAATATAAATAGGTTTTGCCAATTCGAAGCATATCAGAAACAAGCGAATGCAGCAGAATCATCAAATCAACAAGAAGAGAAGTTTCCAGAAAATTTTCCAGACTCGCCGAATATCGAAACCAAAGACAGACACTGAGGTTTTTTCTAAATCCAAAAATTGCCGAGGAAGAAACCACATTGAGCAAAACAATAAGACGAGTGGATGAAGTAGAAACCTCAGTGGTTGGACGGAGAGATGCTATTCAAGCGGAAGCTTCTCGAATCCAACTCAATTGTGGAAGACGGCGAGTGAATTTCATGCAGAGAGAGAGAGAGAGAGAGGGCGAGAGAGAGAGGTCGAACCTTTGAATTGAAAGAAACAAATAAAATTGAATTAAACGAGTAAATTATCAACTGGATTTGGGAGTGAATGGTAAAGGCCCTAAATAGATCTGTTCTCCCAGACTCTCTCTCAGCATCCAATGCACATCGTTTGCTTATGGATACTTTCGTCGTCGTTTTACAGAGATATCTTCTGACGCCGAGAAAAAAAAAAAAAAAAAAGAGAATGAGGCAATTAACAGGGCCCATTTACTAATGATACGATTTTAATGTCTACGTCCACTAACAGGGCCCAATTCACTAAAGAGGCAAAAAACGCTTAATTTAAATCTCTATGGAAATGTTACAGCAGATACTGATTCAATACATCCTATCACTATTTGTATTTGTTATTTTTCCCAACCGAATTTGCTATCTTTCGTTGTGAAGAAAATCATAAAAAAAAGTTGTCAAACAAGAACGAAGATATTTCTTTTGTTGGTTGAACGAATATACAAGGGGAAAAATTATTGTCCCAGCGTCTCTCCCATTTAGACTTTCTCTTCAACAATCTGCAATAGACATTCGAATATTTCCCTAAAATTAATTAATTAAATTAACTCACATTTTCATTTAAATAATATAGTAGCACCATCCATTATATACATACGTATTTGCATTTGTAATATTCTTATAAATTGAATAATGTGATGGATGATATTAAAAAGAAGGAAAGATAATTAAACGTACCATCTCCCTTTTTACGCAAGCTCTTGAGGAACATGAAAAAGATAGTAACAAAGACCAAAGCCGCTACTCCTCCTACAACTATCGCCAACGACTTCCCCGTGTTTGCTTTTGTCCCTTCTGCTGCCAAAAACATTAAACAACGCATATTAATTTGTTTCTTATCAAACAAAATAAACTTTATATTTGTTTGAGTTTAGTTTATTACAATTAGATTTTGGTTCAGTTTAGCTTCATTATTTAAGTTCAGACTTGGTTTAGTTCGAAAACACATATTGCAAATAAACAATCATTTACGGTAAATGTTTGAATTAATAATTGCAGATCGGGTTATAACTTATAAGTAAAAATGTTTTTCTGTGTTTGGTTAATGTTTTTTTTACAAATGTTATAATGTATATATATATGTAACGTACGTACCGTGGTATGAATCGCCGGGAAATTCATGCGGGTAATATGTATACCCAACGTAGCACCCTTCTAAGTAAATTTGACCGGCGATGGACCACCGGCACTCTTCTGCCGCTGCAGCCGCGGCCGCACCAACGCATTCGCCGCAATCGCAGGCTTCAACGTGGCCGTCGCATTGAGCCACGACGTGCAGGAGTTTGTAGCTTTCTTCGTAGAACCCGTGCCCGTCAACGACTCCTGTTTCGGCTGCTGTGAGTGCCTCCGTTCTCATCTCTTCGAATCCGAGGAACGTCTCTGCCGTAGCTCCGTCGCATATCTTGTGGATAAGACCGTGTTCCGGTGTTTCCAATAACTTGTAGTTATGATGATTATAAGCTTCTCCAAAATAAATACAAGAAAGTGAATCGTGTTGGAAAATGTTAATTACTCAAAAGAATTTGGTTCATTTCGTAAAACATCATTAGCCCTTCAGCCAAACGTATCTATATATAATGGTTAAGTGAAGACAAAACTAAATAAGAAATTATGCAACCATTTTTCCCACTATTTTATGCTTTCTATTACGGCATTTTAAGTAAAATATTACTAATTTAAAAATTAAATGTTAACATACTTCCATGCATCTGATTTGACCAAAAAAACATACTTCCATTAACAACAAAAATATGTAAAAAATAGAAGAACATAGAAAATAAAGCTAAAAACTTCGTATTTTTCTATATATTGCTGCAACTCATTATAAACTACAATGTTCAAATATCGTAAATTTTGAACGCGTATCTCAACTGTGTAATTCACTGGAAATTAAAAAGTAAAATCATTAAATACAATATGCAATATTGAATATACTTACGAGCAGTAGGGGTATCAACAAGTTCGAATTGGTATACCAAGTGACATCCTCGGAGATGAACACGAGCTGACGTGGCATTTCCACACAATCTAGACGAGATATCACAAAGTTCACTAACACACCTATGGCATATCTCACTCGGATAATCTTCTCTGCATTGGAACCATCCCGAGACGGCGTGTTCTTCGTTACCAACTAGAGTCTTAAAGAACCTCGCTCGAGAAGATTCTGATTCGAGTTTGCCTAAGAAATAAGAAACAGCTTGTGCACGAAGAAAGCGACTCTGATTCGAGTAATTTGGATATATTGTTGTTGTTATGCTTGTCTTTTGGAGGATGTTTGTGTCTGAGGAGTCGCATTGTTTGAAAACTAGAGTGTCGTAATCCAATTGGGAAGTAATGATGTGAGATGGAAGAGATAGAAAGATTAGTGTTAGGGTTTGTGCAAGGAGATACGTCAAGTGGAAAATCATGTTTTAGACAAATACAGAGAGAAAGAGATTTACATATTCATTAAGTACATATATTAGTGAATAGAGATTGGAAGTTGTGGTAGTTTAGATATATTCTTGCGTATGTCTTTTGGTTAGAAAATTTAGTTATGACTTGTGGTAAGAAAATTTATCTTTTCTTCTAGTTGGTATGACCTTCGCTATGAGAAGTGAGATACATCATGAAAGGAAGAATGAATTATATTTGTCTCGGGTTGTTTGTAGTTTTTTTTTTATTATAATGATTTAAGTATTGCGAAACCGTAATATTATTATTGACAGTCCGTGGAATCGGCTGATCCAAAAGTGTTTAGAAATCTCAAGAACTTTTAAAACATAGTAATGGTTTATCTAATTTCTCTTTTCTTTAATTCGGTATATAAAAGAGTAAGAGAAATCATATAAATCATATTTTCAAGAAATCTTAGACAGCAGTAAAAAAATAAATTTTTTCGCTCAACTAAATTTACCTAACAGGGTGTCAAGTCAACCTTACACGTTTATTTGGGGAACTTTTTGTAGTTTTTTATTCGACCTGGAATTTAAAGTAATTTATCAAAGTATATAACTCTTGGAATCACATTTTTCAGCTTTCCCGTAGATATTCACTTCATATTCGGTATACTGTATTTTAAAAAATTATAAAGGAAAAAACAAACAAACTCCCCTGTTATTTCGTAAAAATCGTTAGTTCGTTATGAGATGACAGGAAACTTATTTTCTCGTTGACTAGATCTTTAAATTTTGTTCATAACAACAACACAAGTCAAAACTCTTTAGAAGGAGAGTCAAATGCCTGTCTCCATAAAGTCTACAAACAAACTGTCCGTTCAAGGACAGTGAAAAAACCAACGGTCCAGTTCTTATCATGTCTAAAAACCACCAGCTTCTTCCTCATCTCACGCTCCCTCCTTCCTTCCTTTTATTCTCCTTCTCAATCTTTTCACAACTGATCGTATAATCATTCTAGAGAAACGAGTGAAAAAGGAAGGTTGATTTTTAATATTTAACTTTCTTAATCCCCCGCTTTCTTGCGAAGATTAAACGAATCCATTTAGATTTTTTTTTAGAAACCAATACCATGAGTCGGCCTAAATTCGCATGTCCTGTTCTTGAAATCAACTTAATCTCAGCACAAGACCTTGCCCCGATTTCGAGAAACATGAAAACGTATTCCGTCGCGTGGATCAACACCGATCCGATGAGAAAACTCACGACCCGTGTTGATCAAACCAATCGAGCTAACCCGATCTGGAACGAGAAATTCGTGTTTCGTGTTAACGACAAGATCCTCGACATCGACGCATCAGCGATTGTGATTGAGATTTACGCCGCGGCTTGGGCTAAAGACGCTCTTGTTGGTACCGTGAATGTTCTTCTTAGCGACCTGTTCGCTCCTTGGTCTGGTTTCGGTGACGGTGACGATGGTGGCGGTGGGAATAACAATATGCGGCTCGTGACTCTTCAGATTCGCCGTCCTTCAGGGAGGCTTCAAGGGTTTTTACGGTTAGGCGTTGCTCTTCTTGACGGTGGTCAACGGAGTATGCCGTTATCGATTGAGGTTTTCGATGGAAGTCCAAGAGGGGAGAGGAATAACAGCAAGGGAGAACAAGAGGGTGCGCAGATGATGCATCGCCGTACGAATAGCGATCAGACGGATTTGACGACGTCCACGAATGACTACGGAGTGAAAACAGGGGTTGTTACCGGCGGAGCAAGATTTTCCGGCGGCGGTGGAGGAGGTGGAGCAGGTGTTGTTCTTGCTGGTGCGGACAGTATGGTGAACGGGTCGCTTTGTAACTCTGATATTGGACCGTCGGCGTCTGTGGTTGCGGCTGCGATCGCGCAGGGGCTTTACAATAGACAGAAAACGGCGGTTAAAGCGGTCACGTCGAAAGAGGACGCGAGTTCGATTCTTGAAGGGAAAACGGAAGGGATTGAGCATCGAGTTGAGCGGTGGAGAGCGGAGAAAAAAGGAGCGGTTGAAGCGGCTGGATCGAGCGATGATTCAAGCGGGAAAGGAGGAGCCGGGAAGAGGCGGAGGAGGAGGAGAAAGGAGAAACAACGGCGGAGAAACGGTGGAGGAGAAAGTAAGAAAGGGTTGTTTTCGTGTTTTGGTAATGTGTTTGGATGTGAGATTTCGATCACTTGTGGTGGTGGAAGCGGCGGAGAAGGAGACAGCACGAAGAAGAGATATAATAACAATAAAGTAGTAAATCTTAGTGCTGTAGACGAAACGTTTAGTCATTCTGCTACTTAATAAAGTGTGTGTATATTCTCTTGTTCAAACGTTTGATGGGGTTCAATTGTTCAAATTTGAAAGGTACGAGGTGAAACGGAATAATAAAAATTCCTTTACATTGGTGATTTTTTTAGTCTTTATTAGTGCAAACCAAATAAATAAAGAATAAACTAAAGTGGACTTATCTGAATCTATGTATAATACTGGGGCAGTTGTGAAACGTTTATAAAGTTTGATCCCAAAAAAAAAGAGAGGAGCTTTTTAGAAAAACGCAAACACTCCATAACTTCATCATCAACCTTCCCATCTTTCTTACGCAACTTCAACTTCAACTTCAACTTCAACCTCTCTTTCTCTCTCTCTCCACCGTGATTGAATGTCGAGCAATTCATAGTTCTGGGGAAGGAGAAGCTCTCTGCTTTGTTACTTCTCTCTCTAGATTTCTCCCAAACTGAGAAATAGAGAGAGGGGCAGAGAAGGAGAGAGAGAGAGAGAGAGAGAGAGAGAGAGACGCAGAGGAACGGTGGTTTCTGGATAAACAATCGGGCTGATTCTATCCTTTATTTCTCAAATCTGTGGAATCAGCTCGTGGAGGTTTCGTGGGTTTCCCTTAATTTTCCAGATTCCGGAGAATTTCCACAAGATGTTTGGATTTGGGTGTGACTGTTTTCACTGGAGCCGAGGAGTCTCCGACTTTGATTTGGAATCGTCAGAGCCAAAGCCTTTCTCGCTTCCGTCTCCTCTTCCTTGCTGGCCACAAGGTACAAAAACTTTCTTTTAATGGAAATTGCAATTTATCTTTGATTATGATATCGAAAGTTGCAAGATTTCGTTAATGGAACTCTTTCATTTTCGCTTCCTATGAGTTGTATAATCATTTAGGGAAATTTTCGTCTTATTGGAATAAATGTGTCAAGAATTGCTCAAAAAAGGTCCATGTGGCATCAAAACTTGTGAAGAACAATATGAAATTTTGGACAGTACAGGGAATTAAAAATCAAAAGATTCGAAATAGATAACCAAAAGATTGTTAGTTAGCTTTGGTCTAATTAAATAATTTAGAGTTTAATCAGTCATAATATCGATATTTTATTTTTCATGCTTGTATAAGATAAGATTAATTACTCATCGATCCTTCCTTGGTTAGTGACTTAATCTTATTTAGTTTTGCTGCCTAATTTTATATAACTTTTTTGATCAGAGAATCATTTTCTGGTTTATTGAAAGTGTAGACAAAGGAAGATGCTTCGGAATATTTTGCATGGGTTCCCGTTGTCTTTTTCTTTCCTTCTTTGTTTGATTTTTGATCAAGATTTTGTCTTTTAACCTGGTCACAAAATATGGTTTCAAGTCTTAATACTCTCACATGAAAACTCAGTTTTGCTCTACCATATACTGTCTTGATAGTATAATATGAGATACTATTTGATTTGATAGTTGTGTCCCAACCAGCTCTTGTAAGGGATAGAGTGACTGATGTTTGATAGAAACAAAGTTTCAACTTTGGTTATAAATTTGATACTAATGAATTAGCATCATGTTGGTATTATGTTGCTGTGAAATTGTTTGAAGTAATTAAACGATAAAGCCAAGCGCCTCCTCGTGCTACTACTCAGTCGACCATATCTTTCTATCTACAAGCGCTGTTAGTATTTTTGGTGCCGAAAGTGATGTACTTTCTGTTGTTGCCAATCTCTTTGCAGGTCAAGGTTTTGCCACGGGAAGAATAAACCTTGGAGAAATAGAAGTGGTGAAAATCACCGAGTTCCATAGAGTTTGGAGCTCTGATTCACCTCACGGGAAATCAAAACGCGCAACAATTTACAGAGCCGAGGAAATTCCGAAAGGTTTCCACTGCCTTGGTCACTATTGCCAGCCAACCGATCAGTCCTTGAGAGGTTATATACTTGCAGCTCGAGCTACCAAACCAGTCAATGCTGATGATCCCCCGCCGCTGAAAAAGCCACTGAGCTATTCTTTAGTTTGGAGTGCAGATTCAGAGAGAAACGGCCGTGGCTATTTCTGGCTACCGAATCCTCCGATAGGTTACAGAGCAATGGGAGTTGTTGTAACCGGTGAACCAGGGGAGCCTGAAGCAGAGGAGGTTAGATGTGTAAGAGAGGATCTTACAGAGAGTTGTGAAACCTCTGAGATGGTACTTGAGGTGGGTTCTTCAAAGAAGTCGAACCGCTCTGGTTCACCTTTCAGTGTGTGGAGCATCCGACCTTGCGAGAGAGGGATGCGGTCACAAGGTGTAGCTGTTGGTTCCTTCTTTTGCTGCACTTATGATCTGTCTTCTGGTAGGACGGTCCGTGATGTTGCATGCTTAAAGAATCTTGATCCCGCCTTACACGCGATGCCAAACCTCGACCAGGTCCACGCGGTTATCGAACACTACGGACCAACAGTCTACTTCCACCCTGAAGAGAGTTACATGCCTTCCTCCGTACAATGGTTTTTTAAAAACGGAGCTTTGTTATATCGGTCAGGGAAATCGCAGGGAGAACCGATCAACTCCACAGGCTCGAACTTGCCTGTTGGAGGGTGTAATGATATGGAATTCTGGATAGATCTTGCCGAAGACGAAGAAGCAAAGAGTGATCTCAAGAAAGGAAACCTCGAAAGCGCTGAGCTCTACGTTCACGTGAAACCAGCACTTGGTGGAACCTTCACCGACATAGTGATGTGGATTTTCTGCCCCTTTAATGGCCCGGCCACACTCAAAATCGGGCTCTTCACTTTGCCTATGACCAGAATAGGAGAACACGTAGGTGATTGGGAACATTTCACTTTCCGTGTATGCAACTTCTCTGGTGAGCTTTGGCAAATGTTCTTCTCTCAGCATAGCGGCGGTGGTTGGGTTGATGCGTCGGATATTGAGTTTGTTGAAGGTAACAAAGCGGCTGTGTACTCATCTAAACACGGGCATGCTAGTTTCCCTCACCCGGGAATGTATCTCCAAGGCTCGTCCAAGCTCGGGATTGGAGTGAGAAACGACGTTGCGAAAAGTGAGTACAGTTTGGATTCTAGCCAAAGGTATGTGATTGTAGCTGCTGAGTATTTAGGTAAAGGAGCTGTGGCTGAGCCGTGCTGGTTACAGTATATGAGAGAATGGGGTCCAATCATAGCCTATGATTCAGGGTCTGAGATCAATAAGATCATCAATCGTCTTCCTCTGGTTGTTAGGTTCTCTGTTGAGAACATTGTGGATTTGTTTCCCATAGCTCTTTATGGAGAAGAAGGCCCCACTGGGCCGAAGGAGAAGGATAACTGGGAAGGAGATGAGCTGTGTTGAAAGAAGACAGCCTCTTTGTGAAGAAAACAAGCTCTAGTGAAAGATGAAGAAGTCTCTTGCGGAGTCGGAGGAATTTGTTCAGTGTGAATCTTTCCCAAGTATTGTGACTGATATGTGTAATACAGTATACTAGTCTAGGGTTTGTTATTGGTTGTTGTAATTGATGATGTTAGAGTCTGGCAAGACCTAAAATACTGCGTTTGCGGCTGTAATCAGCTGCCGGCTTACGAGGAAAATGAATGATGTGTTTGTTGTACTTTCTCTCTACTCCCCTCTGTATCTTCTTCATCTTTATGCAATTGGTAAACTTGAGATGAATTTACCTTTAGTTATACACCAGCCCGGTTTAGTATGTTCCAAGAGGTTCTATATACACCGAGTTATAAGTTTCCAGTGTTTGCGTGTTCATGGAAGTTTCGCATGAAACTTTAGTTAACAAATTTCATTTCTACAGAACGCTTTGATTTTGTGTAAACTTAATCTTTACATTACTTTTCTAGTTTTTTTACTGTAACGATATACAACTACTCTGTACTTTTAATTGAATGAATAAATTGCTTCATTCAGGCGAAGAACACAAATGCTTAACACGAATGGCAGGTTTCCGTATTGATGAACTTCGTCACTTCACTTGTTAGGGCACTGAGCAGCTTCGTAGAACAAAATCTCTGGCCGAACCTTCATTTTTTTACAGAAACTGACCACATCCTTCCAGCTACCAACAGCCTGTGGCAACACCACACATAACGATAGTTCACATTTCAGCTCAAGAAAGACAAATTCAAATGTTTCGTCTTTACCTTTTTTGCTAAAGCTTCATGTCTGAAACTGACCCACCGGTTCTTTTTATAAGCTAGGCAGATGTGTTCTTCTTCTTCACCACAACCAACCTGCATACACATTCTGAGCATGTAACAGAGAAATACAAGAGAACAATAGGACAAACAATTGTGACCTTGTTTCCGATTTTACCATTGACACAAGCCGGTACTTTGTGTTTGGTTCCAAGCCTTCGTATAGCCTGCTGATATCTATCTCCCTCTCTAAAGCGTTTGTTGTTTCGTATATTTCTTCTTCAGTTTCGTTCTTCTCCCAGACCAACACTGATGTTGCAAACCCACAAAATACCAACATTGTTTTATCATAGCATAATAAATGAAATGAGTAGATAAGATCTCACGATCATGGTCACAACTTACCGATTGTGAAGATAGGCGGGCATCTACGTATAATATGATGAACATAGTTTGCCTTTCCGCAGCCTTCTGTTTTAATGTCACAGAACATTTTATCTTCCATGCGGATAAGCTTAAGGATGTCCACAAGCTTTATATCCCCAAAAGCACACTGTGTATATATAAACACAAAACAATTTCTTCAGGGGTAGTACCAGTTTCTGTAGGAAAGACAAAGAGTGAAATAAATGGAACATACCTTCAGCTCTCTGATTGAATCTGCAGCCATAACCACGCCATAAGAACTTTGCTCTGGATAATTTGGTTTCTTTCCGCATTTGCTACAACTGATTGTTTCATATTCTTCCAATGTTAATAGATGAGTTACGAAGCTTTCTATATCTGAAGTTTTCCAGCAAGGCCAAAACTCAAGGATGGTTACGAGTAGCTCAGCAGCATCACTTGACTGAAAAGAGTAAAAAACCAGAATGAAATTAAACACAACAATCAAGAAATTTATAAGTTTACATTTATCTGCACGAACCATGGAATGCACTTCTTCTAGGGAAGCAAGTAAGTTTCCCAGGAGGAAAATGTAGAGTCCATCTTCTTTCATCTGCTTCGAGATAAAAGCAGTAACGAAATTTTGTAGTGCATAAGGAACTTGTTCTTCCAGGTTGTCAGCAAATTGATGCCGATTGCGCACCAAATACTCTTTAAGAACCTTAATGTTACAAAGGGCCTGCAGTAGCAGCACAGTTTATAAAAGAAAATAAGTAAGTAAAGAGATAATACAGGAAAATAAAGAATGAGCTGAATCAGTAGACGAGAGTTGAGGTTTTGAATGTTAGGTTTGTGGGTGCCTGCTTTACCTTCAATAGCATGTCAAGTGCTAAATTGCATCTGGTTGCAGCTGCTCCATGTGCTGACTCCAAATCTGTCGACAGTGTTTCGTCTCCAGGAATATTTTGCATATCTTGTAGATGGCAAGTTAAAGAAATAAAAATTATACATCTCAAAACAAAGTAGTTTAAGCATATTCGTAAATTGAGAAGCTCTTTTACAGCCAGGGTCACCTTTAGCAGCTTCCTCTTGATTGTCAGTGTTGGGTGAAATATCCAATCGATCCTTTTCACTTGGAAGAGTCTCTTCAGGTTCAAGATTGACAGAAGATTCACTAGACATGTGTAAGAACACGTTGTACTCAGACAAAGCCTTCAAACTATTTCTCAACTTGCGAAAAGACTCTTGAGAAACCAAATTTCTCATTTAGTAAAGTGGTACTTACTGTTCGACATTCTTCTCAAGAACACTAGAAATTCTCGTTGAAGTTCTTCTCTGTTACACCATGAAGACCATTCATTCTTACAACTCGGTAACCGAAAAACCAGAGAAGCAAAGAAAGAATTTAGATCTTCAGCAACCTTAACGCTTCTAGGTTTCTTCTTCTTTGACCCTGAGTTCTTCTCCTTGTCTTGTTTTTCCTCGGATAAAAGATCTGCTTCTGCTGCAGCTACCTTGGCTTTGGCATCCATATTTACAAGCCCATCTAACTTTTCCTAGAAGAAGAGACATAAATCATAATATAAGGTACCATTCAAAGAATCCAATCAGAGCGAAGATGAAAGCTCTACGTATATAACCAAAGTTTCAAACCAACCCGCAGGAAACGTTTGAGCAGGTGAAGGATATAAGACCGGTGGTCAAAAATAGAAAGCCTGGCGAGGTCGTTTAGCAAACTAATCCTTGAATTTTCAACCAGTAAAATCTTTGAATCGATTAGCAGAACCTGCAAGTCAATACATTCTTTACGATAACAATTTAAGTATGTTATTCTATTGTTAATTAGTATTCAGATCAGGAATGAACCTTGTTGGTGACCACAGATTTGAGACGGTCTATGGAGTTTAGCACTATATCATCACTGAGATTTTTATGCCCATGTATGAGTTTCACGCAATCTTCTATATCGGGAAAATCAAATGTCGGATGCGATGCTTCTTCGAGAACATCTCGTACTGCACACAAGAATAGTATTGCGTTTGAAGAATCTACACCGTCTGTCGTTGAAAGCTCGTCACATTTATCACCTAGAAGAGATGCATATAAGTTCCATTGATCTTCCGGAACATTCCTTCGCCTTTCATCTTCGCTTATACACAAGTCCTTGGCGTCAATAAGAGCTCTATCATAATTAAGGATCTCCAGCTTCTTTGCATATTTTGTTTCCAGATTCCTACACATGAAGTGAATGGCTTTCAGAACAGCCACCCATATATCAAGATTGTGTGCCCTGATAGATCTGGGAAATTCAAAGCTCTCATCTATCAAGGGGTAGTCAAGTAACCAGGTTATGATATCATCGCCCTGAGGATGTGTCTTGGTGTAGTAAACATTCTGATCACAAACATCTATTGTTCCTTCATCATCGAATGAAGCAACCTTGCCTCTCAGCAGTCTTTTATCCAGAAGCATAGAAGAAAACTGACTGTCAAAGTCGATCTTTTCTTTAACTCGAGTACGGTCCCACAAACTGTCCACTGCTCTGCAAATCAGATCTGTACCATCATCCCTTTCACACTTGATGAGTTTGAGAAGGTCTAGAATTTGATTGAGTTCATGACATCCCAAAAAGCAGATACTCAGAGGTGTTTCCACTAGGCGACACTCGGTGGTAAGAGTAGGCTCGGAAACTTCAAATTGTGCAAGATGCTTAACCGGAAATTGCATAATCCAGTCTCGAATGCTACGAGAAAGAATCTTACGCTCCAGAATTGATACAAGGAGCAACCGGATTTCCGTGAGTAACTTACTGCGCTCTTCATCTGCAGCTAAAGGCCAGTGTTTGAACCATCCATTCTCAGATACAAACTCTTTCACATATTCGAGCCGGGTCTTGATCATTTCAGCGGCAGCTACTGCATCCACTGGTTCCCAACCTGTAACCGATATCATACCAGCCCACACTTCATCTACCCTCTGAGGCATATGCATTGTCTTAGAAGGTTTAAATTTTGCGGCATGTTTTTGTTCCAGATGATTCTTAAACTTTTTAAGATGAAAGAACTTCTGTGAACAAGTTCTACACATCCAGAATTTCCATTTTCTGTTTAACCTTGCAGAATCCAGAACTTGCTCTAAAGCAGCTTGTCCCTCTCTGCCGTACAATCTCTCGACGTAACTTGTAAGCTCCGCATTGCTTACTTTCAGGAAGTTCCTTTTACCCTCAACATCCATATCCGCCCAATATGACCTCAATCGTTTACCTGCAGCGTTTTCCGTGTCACTCCTGACCGTGCGTCGAACTTCTTTTGACTTCCCAAGTGGTGGCGCAGAGCTTTTTCCAGTAGGACCAAGGAGGAACCTTGACTCTGACTCTTTGATTATATTCTCAAGTGAACTTTTTGTTTGTTGCTCGTCGAAGCTCAAACCATCATAAGAAGCCAGTTCAGATAAAACCTCTTTTGCAAATTTCACGGATTTCCTGTAATACGACGCAGAGTCAAGCTGTTTGGCCATATCGAACAATGCAACTGCAGCGAAGGCGTGTGTCCCAAAATCTCCCATAGAGGATTCTACACAACTCAACAAAAACGCGAACTTTATGTCACTGTTCTCTGCTGTATTCGCTAGCTGAAACAAGATAGAACCTTGTAGGGAATGAAGCATTCCTGGAAGGTTTTCTTTCCCACGGGTCGAAATTGAATCTTCAATCACTTCCAAGGCCTTGCTGTGATTTCCCTGAGCGAAGTAACCTTGGGCACGACCGTGGACTTGTTGTGCGTCCTCAGCATCTTTGAGGAAACCCTCCATTGCTGAAGAAGA